TTTGAACGGTCTATTCTCCTCCCTTTCCTCATTTACAGTTTGTTGATAACAGCAAGTGTGTGTGTTTGAAAGATCTCTCTGATGCCCCATTAAACTCCAGGTTAGGAAAAGGAAAATATTAGCTTGTGGTTGTCATTTCCTAACTCAAACAGCACTAGGGAATCAGTGAAAAGAAGGTGAGAGAGGGGGGGGGGAATTAAAACTCAGACCAGGTCAGGGCGGGGAAAAAACTCCATCTAAAAACCTGGCAAACAGGGCTCCATTGAGTTTTGGAGAACATCAGTAGTGTGGAAGCAACACTGGAAGCACTTGAGCAGAATGGGGAGAGAAGACAGGAATGCCATCGTGGTGCCCAGATGGCCTCTAAAATAAACACGGGTGATCCCTGACCCCACCAGGACTGCTCTAGTGTGGAGGAATAACTGTGGTACAGAAAACCGAAACCTTTCAAATGGAGTTTAACAGGTGGTATTACCTGAATGTGTCCAAAAGGAACACAAATTTTTGTTGTTGCAAAAATAATTTCAGTTTTTTTGCTGAACACGACCTATGTCTACTTGGCCAAATGGTCTCTCTGATCTGTCTGTAGATGGAGCCCACCACTAATGTCTGTCTTCATAAGTATTTTCTGCTTATGAAGTCTCCCGAGTGGTGCAGTGGTCTAAGGCACTGCATCGCTGTGCCACTAGAGATCCTGGTTCGAATCCAGGCTCTGTCGTAGCCGGCCGCGACCGGGAGACCCATGGGGCGGCGCACAATTGGCCCAGCGTTGTCCAGTGTAGGGGAGGGAATGGCCGGCAGGGATGTAGCTCAGTTGGTAGAGCATGGCGTTTGCAAAGCCAGGGTTGTGGGTTCGTTTCCCACGGGGGGCCAGTATAAAAAAAATAATGTATGCACTAACTGTAAGTCGCTCTGGATAAGAGCGTCTGCTAAATGACTAAAATGTAAATGTAAATGTAATTCATACATTCAAATTCATCCTTGTCCCTCTTCCTGCTTTTTAAATGATCTCCTTATCTTCTCTGCCTTTCTCTCTTTTTCTACTATTTTCTCTCTCGTTCTCTTTCTCTCTTGCTCTCGCTCATTTTCTATTGTCTTCTCTCTCTGGCTCCTTTTATCTTCTCTGCCTCATTCCCCCTCTCCTCTGCCGCACCACTGAGTTTTGAAATTCCTTGGCCCCATCCGGTACCAGTATGGGATGTTTGGCTTGGCATAGCCAGACATGTTCCAGCACAGCACTTTCGTGGAACAGGCAGAGGAGGGAGGTAGTCTGTGGTGTCCTGCGCCAGCAATGATAATAAAGAACGTTGCTGTATTCTCAATCACGCAGTGGGACTTGTCTTCAGACCTGTATCTGACTCGGGAGTTCTGCTAACTAGTATCTACTGCTTTTAGTGAATACATTGAAAACTATTACCAGTAAATATGTACAGTATGTAATGTATGCTTATGTGTTATGAACATTCACTATGTGAATATATATAAATGTGTACTTTAGTATTTATAAACAAAAATGCAACGTTAAGATCCTTCCCATCATTGGTGCATCAGTATTGACCTTTGTAGCCAAAAGTGATATTGATTGGTGGCTGCAAAAGTAAATATTGGTTTGTACAGTATCTGTATTCATGCTGTAAGCTAATGTGATTATTAGTTGTCATGGGCAATCATAATGACTTGAATGATTGATCATATGAACTCTGCTTTCTATAAGTTGGGTTGGGTTGTGTTGGGGTGGTTGTGGGTTCAGGACCCGGACACCCTCTCATCACCCCATCTATTACAGTGTAATTCTCTTCATTTAGTCATGTGAGGCCTTTGATTTTCTACAAAGGCTGAATCCGGGGGGGAACAATAGCATGTATTGTTCTTATGTTGTGTGTGTGTGTGTGTCATGATCCTGTGGACACCCTCTCCATGTGAAGATCATCAAAGGAAGCATAGTCATAATCTTATCTACAATGGGTGCATGACCAGGCTGTTAAACTCCACTCCACTTTCCCTCTGTCCGGTTGCCTTTCTTATCTGGTTAGCGTTGAGGAAATTGGACTGCCTGGTAAGCGGGGGAATAACCCTAGGGAAGTTAGGCTAGCTCATCACATTATGACATAGTACTGTTGTTGACGCAGTGGGGCAGTCTGTCTGCTCTCTCATTAGTCTGAAGAATTAAGCAGCAGTATGCATCTTTCACAGTGAACCGTTGGCATCTTTCAGTGAATTTTATCGTCTTTCACAGTGAGCCTTTTAGCGTCTTTCACAGTGAGCCTTTAGCATCTTTCACTGAACTTTTTGTATCTTTCACAGTGAACTTTTAGCAGTCTTCTGTATCTATAACGGGTCAGATGGTGTGAGTCTGGATGATTGCTGCAACAGTAAAGGTACAGTTGAAGTCGGAAGTTTACATACACTTAGGTTGGAGTCATTTAAAACTCGTTTTTCAACCACTTCACAAATGTCTTGTTAACAAACTATAGTTTTGGCAAGTCGGTTAGGACATCTACTTTGTGCATGACACAAGTAATTTTTCCAACAATTGTTTACAGACAGATTATTTCATTTACAATTAACTATTTCACAATTCCAGTGGGTCAAAAGTTTACATACACTAAGTTGACGGTGCCTTTAAACAGCTTGGAAAATTCCATAAAATGATGTCATGGCTTTAGAAGCTGATAGGCTAATTGACATCATTTGAGTCAATTGGAGGTGTACCTGTGGATGTATTTCAAGGCCTACCTTCAAACTCAGTGCCTCTTTGCTTGGGAAAATCAAAAGAAATCAGCCAAGACCTCAGAAAAAAATTGTAGACCTCCACAAGTGTGATTCATCCTTGGGAGCAATTTCCAAACGCCTGAAGGTAGCACGTTCATCTGTACAAACAATAGTACGCAAGTATAAACACCATGGGACCACGCAGCCATCATACCGCTCAGGAAGGAGACGCGTTCTGTCTCCTAGAGATTAACGTACTTTGGTGCGAAAAGTGCAAATCAATCCCAGAACAACAACAAAGGACCTTGTGAAGATGCTGGAGGAAACCGGTACAAAAGTATCTATATCCACAGTAAAACCAGTCCTATATCAACACAACCTGAAAGGCCGCTCAGCAAGGAAGAAGCCACTGCTCCAAAACCGCCATAAAAAAGCCAGACTACGGTTTGCAACTGCACATGGTGACAAAGATCGTACTTTTTGGAGAAATGTCCTCTGGTCTGATGAAACAAAAATAGAACTGTTTGGCCATAAGGACCATAGTTATGTTTGGAGGAAAAAGGGGGTGCTTGCAAGCTGAAGAACACCATCCCAACCGTGAAGCACAGGGGTGGCAGCATCATGCTGTGGGGGTGCTTTGCTGCAGGAGGGACTGGTGCACTTCACAAAATAGATGGCATCATGAGGAACGAAAATGATGTGGATATATTGAAGCAACATCTCAAGACATCAGTCAGGAAGTTAAAGCTTGGTCGCAAATGGGTCTTCCAAATGGACAATGACCCCAAGCATACTTCCAAAGTTGTGGCAAAATGGCTTAAGGACAACAAAGTCAAGGTATTGGAGTGGCCATCACAAAGCCCTGACTTCAATCCTATAGAAAATGTGTGGGCAGAACTGAAAAAGCGTGTGCGAACAAGGAGGCCTACAAACCTGACTCAGTTACACCAGCTCTGTCAGGAGGAATGGGCCAAAATTCACCCAACTTATTGTGGGAAGCTTGTGGAAGGCTACCTGAAACGTTTGACCCAAGTTAAACCATTTGAAGGCAATGCTACCAAATACTAATTAAGTGTATGTAAACTTCTGACCCACTAGGAATGTGATGAAATAAATAAAAGCTGAAATAAGTCATTCTCTACAATTATTCTGACGTAAAATAAAGTGGTGATCCTAACTGACCTAAGACAGGCAATCTTTACTAGGATTAAATGTCAGGAATTGTGAAAAACTGAGTTTAAATGTATTTGGCTAAGGTGTATGTAAACTTCCGACTTCAACTGTAGATGGATTTAACTGCTGTTTGATTTGTAGCTTCGCTTGGCCTGAGAATGCATTAATAGGCCATGAAATGGTATATCATATCCGAAATAAACCGTAGGTCGCTCTAAGATTTATAGGTCCGTCACTATATTGCTTTGTGAAGGGTTCTGAGTTGCGAATGGTAATGAAGATATTGAGAACAAACGCTTGAATCCAATTCAAGTCTTTGAATTTACATCGCAATGGAAGGATCGTGCTCAGACGAAACACCTTGCCAAACAAGTTTTACACCTCATATACTGTCAACTTAAACATGTTCATTTGTCTCAGAAACAGTACAGAAACACCTATACATTCTCATTGATCATTTACATGAACACTTTGTGAATTGGTCAACATGGCAACATATGGCTTCTAGACAGTACTGAAGGTTGTGTATGCATTGGTACATTTTATCTTCTTAGTTCTCTGTGAGACGTCCAAAGCGGCCCAAACCTTCCCGAGATGAGTTACCTATTCACACACACAATTAACATACTACTATGTGTTGTGTTCAAATGGATATTAGAAGTGTGTTTTGGGCATATTACAGAAATACACATATTATACACATATTACACTGTCACTGCATGTTATTTTTCATCCTGAATCCTTTCTTTCCTAAAGGGTGTTATTCTGGCGCACCACTATTATGTTGTTGCCTTAAAAGGAAAGTGGGTCATGGCGAGCTGCTTTAGCTGTGTGCCTCATTAACCCCACTCACTCAGTCACGAAATAGGAATTCAAACATGCCCAGACCTTTAAAACTAGACGTGAATGAGCAGTGGGCTGCCTTTTTGTAAACTTTCTGGCCCAGATTGAACTGCGTCATCATGATGAACTTGCATAGACTAGAGTGCTCTCTGTCTGGCATCATGAGAGTCTAGAGAATCTCCCTATTTGATCACTCTGGTCAAGAGTTGGCATGTGTATATATTTATACTTTTTAAAATAGTAAAAACAAATTATCCTTGTGTTTTTTCTAGCAAATAACACGATCCTCGCAAGAAGACAAGTCAGACGATAAACCCGAAGAGGACAAATCGGAGAAGTCAGAGAAAAAAGAGGACGAGCAGAATAAGGAAGAGGAAGAGAAAGATGAAAAGGAGGACTCCAGGTGAGTGTTGAATAGCTCTGTGTGTGCGTATAAACGTGGGCATGGGTTTCCCACAGGTACTGCTGTTAGTCCTGGCTAAAGTCAGCCTCTGGCCTGGTCCGCCTCTGACACTTTTAGGGAGAATCTGTACCTCCCAGTAAATGTTTGCCCTCAGTTGAGGCGACAGGAACTCTGGAGCCTTATCACAGGGATCAGCATCCCTCATAGATGTGTTGTAAATTAGGCCATAGAGAGAGTGCGAGCGGGAGAGAACCACTGCCCTTCTCTGGCGTGATGGACAGGCTGACCAAACCACCCACCACCCGCTGCTTTCAGTGTTCCATTGATAACTTGTGTCCTCTCTCCTTCGAATGTTCTACTCCAATTAATTTTGAGATGGAGAAAGAATGAGAAGAATTGAGGAAAGGCGAATTGAAAAAGAGCCACTGACTCTTAAGAGGCAGACATCTTGACCCCAGGACTCTGATCCTTTAGCCAGATGACTCCCTGCCTTTTTACCCAGCTGGATCAGTGGGCAGCAGTTAGTCATAACTCATGTGTCCTAACCAACCACTAAATGAGAAATGCAAGTGCCTGTAAAAAAAAATAACCTGCTAATGAAAATGTATTTTATTTAGATTTTGATTGGACTATTATTTTGATTTTCCTAAGAATTCAGCTGTGCAAATAATAGGCTTGTACAGTTAATGAAAATGTCCATTGCGGAGGAATTGAATAAAATAAAACAATCCCTTCTCTTGTCTCCTCCAGGGACATCGGCAAAGACAAAGACAAGTGTGACGGCGGGGAGGACGAGGACTGTAAGGAGCAGAGCACGCCACGCGGCAGGAAGACCGCCAACAGCCAGGGCCGGCGCAAGGGAAGGATCACCACGCGCTCCATGGCCAATGAGGCTGCCTCTGTGGCGGCCGAGGAACCACCGCCACCCGCCCCCGAGCCTGCCTTGCCAACCGAGCCCCCTCAGCTCCCCAAACCTGAGCCTACTACCCAGAAGGCTATGAGAGAGCCCACCAAATCTGCAACGGGGGAACCCCCCATGGACCCTAACAGAGGAGGTAAGCACCTCGGCTATTCTACGCTTTTATTAGCCTACTACCATCCCCTCTTTCTTTCTTTTTTACGAAGATGCATCTCAAAAAGATAGAGGAGGAGACTTACGCTTACTAAGGTGGTTTACTAGTTTTATGGGTATGTTGTATTTGTGACCATGGGACTTAGTAGATAATATAACTCTCTACTCCTGTCCACTCGCGGTATTGATCCTCGGTTATGAAAGTTTGAACGAGTGTGTGGAGTGCGAACTGTGGCTTCATGATTATCTTATGTGAGAGATCAGCTGTTGTGTGTTTTTATCCTGGAAAGGCCCTGAAATATAATAGCATTGTGAGGATGCTGTTATAGGTCACTGCTGTAGAAGAGGGCGGCACAACTTGAGAGCCTAAACAAGTCCCAATGGTCATGCAGCTGAGCTGAAACACCTCTAGCTTCAAGAAAAACACCACCACATACCATATAAACAACCCCAATTACCTTTACACACACACACACACGTGATAGGGTGGTCAGTTAACAACTGGGGTCAGTTCCATTCATTAGCTATATTTCTAAATAAGGAATTGTCAGCTCTATTCATTAGCTACATTTATATCTGTAATGTCACCGTTCTGAATGCATCCCTGGTTCACCAGGTTCAGGTTGTTGTTGTTTTGCTCCTCAACACAATGCCATAACAGACTTCTATCTCTCACTTCTGTAACCCAGCCAGGGGTTCGGTCTCAGTCTAGCCTATACCCTAGCCATCATCACCATGGCAATAGTGTGGTGTCTGGGGTGGACCTGTTGTCATGGCTCCTCACAGCTGTACTTCAGCCTAGCCACTTAATTTGTCCTTGTGCTGCTCTGAGAGCTTATTTTGATGTTTGTGTGCTGAATGTCAGACAGACAGTGCAGGCCCAGGGCTCTAACCAGAACATTCAAGCAAACACAAAAGTATTTTAGAAAGGTCAATTTAGGCTACATCCTTGAATGGATAATCAATTATTCCATTCTAATCTATCTCAGAAAGGTGAATATCCATCCAAGGAAGTAAAATCAAATTGTATTATTTTTCAAGGAATTTAGATTTTTTCAGTCTTTATGGCTGATTCTGTATTAACCAAAAGCTACATGTTGTGCTGTCCTTCCCTCCTCTCTGCTCTGTGTCTTAAGTCTGCACCTTATTTCCCAGTCAGTCTGTCAACCCCCTGACCCCCCTTGGCTCTGGTGCATCAGGGATTTGCATAGGCCCATGTCAGGTTCAATCTTTTGAAATGACTGACTGCTGAGCAGACTGTGCTTGTCTCCTCTCCTGATTCACTGGGGATTCACAGCCTCCGTGCTGGTTTTGTGTGTGTGTGTGTGTGTGTGTGTGTGTGTGTGTGTGTGTGTTAGGCTTGGGCGGTATCCAGATTGTCATACCTTCATATCTTGTGCCATCCTGAGCTATTCTGTAATACCAGCACTGAACACAAGGGGCGCTATTTTCAAACCCCACTGAGCCTCTGTAATCCGAAGGGTAGCAATGTTAACAAGTACATGTAAAATCCCATAGAGAATGCTAACGAGCGCATTGCGAACATTTTATACGTCCTCTGACTTACACTATTTGCAGAACAGACATCCCAGCTCAAAGTTATACAAGTAACAAAAAAATGCTACTCACAGTTTGCTGCACGCACAAAACAAATATTAGATCCAGGAGGGGATTCTCTGCTTTTACCAAGAGAAGCTTGATTTTGGAAGAAGCTAACCATTTAGCTAGATAGCTAACTAGCTACTAAATCAGCAAACCAAAAGCACAACTGCATTTAGCACATTTTACACTGTTAACTTAGTAGTTATAAGACATCTAGCTGGCTAACATTTAGTTGTGAATTCCAAACTGTAACTAGGTCACCTGGCGCATTCTGCACAAGAGTGAGTAACTCTCAAGGCTCCGGTCTCTCGTCGTTGTGTGCTTGTAAACAAACACCACGTGACTGGGGACTACCGGTAAGCTTCATAATGATAAATTATGTGACAGGTGAAATTAATAATGCGATCTTCTTTCTCTCCTAATGTATTGCACAAGTTAACTGCAGGTATTTGCTTAAAAATTAGCTACAAATATTCAAATTTATAAAAATACTTCAAATAAATAGTAGCTCAGTTGGTAGAGCATGGCGCTTGCAACGCCAGGGTTGTGGGTTCGTTTCCCACGGGGGGCCAGTATGAAAATGTATGCACTCACTAACTGTAGGTCGCTCTGGATAAGAGCGTCTGCTAAATGACTGAAATGTAAATGTATTGAAAAACCATCCTGTGGCTATTTCCAAATACCCCGGGATACGGTATATACGGTATATCACCCAAGCCTAGTGTTTGTGTGTTTTAAAACCTGGTTTGATCTCATTAGGAGTCACAGAGGGGGTCCCTGTCTGTTGTAGCCTCCTACTCTGTATTTATAACTATATGTATGCATCTGAAATGGCACCCTATGGCCCCCTATTCCCTATATAGTGCTCTACTATTGACCAGAGCCCTATGGGCCGGGTCAAAAGCAGTCCATTATATAGGGAATAGGGGGCCATTTTGGACTGACCCTATCTCTTCAAAGAGCCAGGCGAGATTAATGACCTGCCCACCTCCCTGGATCTTAACAGGCCAGATGGGGGCACGAGTGAATGGGGGTAAGATTAGGCGAACACGTTGAACGTACCACGGGACAGGAGCAGCGATTCAGCAATTGTTTGAGTAGATTTAAGTCTGTGAGGCCCCAGACCGTTTTTTCTAGGAGCTGTCTAAACAGTGAGAATGGATCTCCTCAATAATTTATTTGGGTTGTAAATGTCAGGGGTTCATACTGCAGCTATATTGGTCCAAATGTTTACACAATCTCTGTGGGTCCAATGGAATAGAGTGGGCCAGGGTTCACTCTCTCTCTCAGCCCCAGCCTCCATCAGCACCCATCAGTGTGTGTGTGTGGTTAATAGTTACTTTGCATTGTAGCAGTGATATGAGTGGTAAGTCTCTGTCTGTCGGCTGTTCTCTCTGTCTGTTTTGTCTCTGTCCAAGGCCGTTTCCCAAAGAGGGGGAAGTTGGGAGGCGCGTCTCTCTACTCCTCCGCTGTCTGGAGCCAGATCAGGTGACATGGAACCTCCCCTTGTGGGGGAGAGAGAGGAGGAGGGGATTGGGAGGTAGAGAGCGAAAGTGCAACAGAAGGAGGGAGAGCGAGCGAGCACGAGAGAAAGGGAGTGTAAGAAAGAGAGAGGGAGAGAGCGTGAGGGGCAGGTCTCGGCAGCGAGCCACAGAATGTAAACAGATTATTAGATTAGCAGCCATGAGAAGCAGACGGCTGAGAAGCGGAACGAGCTCGGTACTTTCTCTCTCTGTGGGCTGTTATGAAGGTTTCTGTTCTCTCTCTGTGACTTAAGCAGGAGGAGCTGCTGCCGCTGCGAACGGCGAAACCGGAGAGACTTCTCGCTGGACCGAGGAGGAGATGGAGGTTGCCAAAAAAGGTAGCGTTATCATTTTATTTCTCTATCTACCGTTTCTCTCTCTCACCCCTCTCTCTTTCTAGTTTGATCTCACTCTCCTCGTCATTTGTATTTGTATTTATTATGGATCCTGCCAAGGCAGTAGCTACTCTTCCTGGGGTCCAGCAAAATTAAGGCAGTTATACAATTTTAAAAACATTACAATGCGTTGATAACAGATTTCACAACACATTGTGTGCCCTCAGGCCACTACTCTACTACCACATATCTACAACACAAAATCCATGTGTACGTGTGTGTATAGTGCGTATGTTATCGTATGTGTGTGTATGCATGTGCCTGTGTCTCTTCACAGTCCCCGCTGTTCCATAAGGTGTATTTTTATCAGTTTTTAAAATCTAATTTTACTGCTTGCATGAGTTACATGATGTGGAATAGAGTTCCAAGTAGTCATGGCTCTATGTAGTGCTCTGCACCCTCCATAGTCTGTTCTGGACTTGGGGACTGTGAAGAGACTTCTGGTGGCATGTCTTGTGGGGTATGCATGGGTGTCCGAGCTGTGTGCCAGTAGTTCAAACAGACTGCTCAGTGCATTCAACATGTCAATACCTCTCACAAATACAAGTTTGCTCCCACACAAACTGTCTCCTCTGACACTCTCCTGGCTGGGTGCATAAATGGTGGAGGTTTTTAGGGGGAAGCAGGGCGGAGTGGTTTGAGCGAGGATGCTTTTTCTGGTAGCTAACTGCAGTGGCTCTGCTCTGTTTTGCGTGCCTCTCAAAACTGACCTATTAGGGCCAAAGCATGAAGTAACCAAGCGTGACAGTTTGAGTTTCCTCTAAAGATCAAATCTATTATTCACAAAAACACTTTGCCAGGCCTCTGGATCTTGTAGGACTTCACCTTAAAACATTTTTTAAAATTTTTTATCATTTTTCTCTCCAAAATAACTTATTTTGAGAGGTGAGTGTTTCATTTCATGGAGTTGCTGACAGTGGACACACCAGCGTTTCTGCTTTCACCAGTTGCGTCACACACTCAGTCCATGGGAGATTGACCCCTAACCCCAACCCCCATCGACCCATAGCTACCTTCTAGCCAGGCCAGTACTCCTCCATATTTGTCAGTGTAGACTCTGGTGGACAGAGGGAGAAAAAGGGAGAGGGCGAGACTGATGTCGAGTTTCCATCTGAGATTTATCCTGGTGTTTTACCCAAAAGGCTCAGACTTTTCTGTTTCCATCTACGTGGACTGGCACCCGTGTCTCACTGGGTCATGTCTCCGGCGGACCTGCTCTGACCAGGCCACTGGTACTTTTCAGCTGTTATTTACATAATAATGGAAAACTGTGAACTTTAGCACCTTCTCACAAAGTAACAGTCTTGATAATGTAGAGGTTGTTGATTCTGCTCGCCCCAAGTCTTTAGTGTCACACTCCTGATGGAGAAACAATAACACTAGAGCTTACATTAATATAAATCACTGGCAATACTTTGGTGTGGGGTAAGTCTTAAGTGGAAGTGCAGCATGAGAGGCCCAATGGGGATAAGCTCATTGGACTGGGGAGAGTAAATAGAAGGATTGATGGGGATTAATTAAGGCTCTCTTGGGTGGGTTTGAGGATTTGGTCATTCCTCCCCAACCCATGTACATGTTCGCTTTCTCCCGTACATACACTTCAGTTGACAAACCTAGCCTATATATTACCTCTGCTCTGCTGTGTTTCTGTATTTATGTATCGCAGATGCCAGATACAGTATTATGCTTTGCCATTGGTATCATATTTGGTTGGTCATACATTCACAGCCAAAAGTGAATCACTGTGATCTTACAGTAACTAGGGCTGTTAATTTAGAATAGTCTGGTTGAATTAACAGGGTCTATCAGAGATGCCACTATCATACCCAAGGTCTTAAATCTGGAGCTCTTCCAGACCAGACAGTACAGAGGGGGAGTTTCTAAAAGCTGACACGTTTGAAAGGAGCACCCCCCCCCCCCCCCCCCCTTTTAATTAACAGAGTAGCAGCAGTGTAAAAAGATGGGGTGGGGGTGGAGGGGCAGTGCAAGTAGTCCGGGTAGCCATGATTAGCTGTCCAGGAGTCTTATGGCTTGGGGGTAGAAGCTGTTGAGAAGCCTTTTGGACCTAGACTTGGCGCTCCGGTACCGCTTGCCGTGCGGTAGCAGAGAGAACAGTCTGACTAGGGGGGCTGGAGTCTTTGACAATTTTGAGGGCCTTCCTCTGACACTGCCTGGTATAGAGGTCCTGGATGGCAGGAAGCTTGGCCCCAGTGATGTACTGAGCCGTACGCACTACCCTCTGTAGTGCCTTGCGGTCGGAGGCCGAGCAGTTGCCATACCAGGCGGTGATGCAACCAGTCAGGATGCTCTCGATGGTGCAGCTGTAGAACTTTTTGAGGATCTGAGGACCCATGCCAAATCTTTTCAGTCTCCTGAGGGGGAATAGGCTTTGTCGTGCCCTCTTCACGACAGTCTTGGTGTGTTTTGACCATGATAGTTCGTTGGTGATGTGGACACCAAGGAACTTGAAGCTCTCAACCTGTTCCACTACAGCCCTGTCGATGAGAATGGAGGCATCCTCAGTCCATAATCATCTCCTTTGTCTTGATCACGTTGAGGGAGAGGTTGTTATCCTGGCACCACACGGCCAGGTCTCTGACCACCTCCCTATAGGCTGTCTCATCGTTGTCGGGGATCAGGCCTACCACTGTTGTGTCGTCAGCAAACTTAATGATGGTGTTGGAGTCGTGCCTGGCCATGCAGTCATGGGTGAACAGGGAGTACAGGAGGGGACTGAGCACGCACCCCTGAGGGGACCCCGTGTTGAGGATCAGCGTGGCAGATGTGTTGTTACCTACCCTTACCACCTGGGGGAGGCCCGTCAGGAAGTCCAGGATCCAGTTGCAGAGGGAGATGTTTAGTCCCAGGATCCTTAGCTTAGTGATGAGCTTTGAGGGCACTATGGTGTTGAACGCTGAGCTGTAGTCAATGAATAGCATTCTCACGTAGGTGTTCCTCTTGTCCAGGTGGGAAAGGGCAGTGTGGAGTGCAATAGAGATTGCATCATCTGTGGATCTGTGTGGATCTGTTGGGGCGGAAGCAAATTTGAGTGGGTCTAGGGTTTCTGCGATAATGGTGTTGACGTGAGCCATGACCAGCCTTTTAAAGCACTTCATGGCTACAGACGTCAGTGCTACGGGTCGGTAGTCATTTAGGCAAGTTATCTTAGTGTCCTTGGGCACGGGGACTATGGTGGTCTGCTTGAAACATGTTGGTATTACAGCCTCAGTCAGGGACATGTTGAAAATGTCAGTGAAGACACTTGCCAGTTGGTCACCACATGCTCGGAGTACACGTCCTGGTAATCCATCTGGCCCTGCGGCCTTGTGAATGTTGACCTGCTTAAAAGTCTTATTCACATCGGCTACGGAGAGCGTGATCACATAGTCATCCGGAACAGCTGGTGCTCTCATGCATGCTTCAGTGTTGCTTCCCTCTAAGCGAGCAGAGAAGATGTTTAGCTCGTCTGGTAGGCTTGTGTCACTGGGCAGCTCGCGGCTGTGCTTCCCTTTGTAGTTTTCAAGCCCTGACACATCCGACGCGCGTCAGAGCCGGTGTAGTACAATTCAATCTTAGTCCTGTATTGACTCTTTGCCTGTTTGATGGTTCGTCATATGGCATAGCGGGATTTCTTATAAGCATCCGGGTTAGAGTCCCGCTCCTTGAAAGCGGCAGCTCTACCCTTTAGCTCAGTGCGGATGTTGCCTGTAATCCATGGCTTCTGGTTGGGGTATGTACATACGGTCACTGTGGGGACGACGTCATCGATGCACTTATTGATGAAGCCAGTGACTGATGTGGTGTACTCCTCAATGCTATCTGAAGAATCCCGGAACATGTTCCAGTCTGTGCTAGCAAAACAGTCCTGTAGCTTAGCATCTGCTTCATCTGACCACTTTTTTATTAACCGAGTCACTGGTGCTTCCTGCTTTAGTTTTTGCTTATAAGCAGGAATCAGGAGGATAGAGTTATGGTCAGACTTGCCAAATGGAGGGCGAGGGAGAGCTTTGTATGCGTCTCTGTGTGTGGAGTAAAGGTGGTCTAGAGTTTTTTTTCCTCTGGTTGCACATTTTTAACATGCTGGTAGAAATGAGGTAGAACGGATTTAAGTTTCCCTGCATTAAAGTCCCCGGCCACTAGGAGCGCTACCTCTGGATGAGCGTTTTCCTGTTTAGTTATGGCCTTATACAGCTCATTGAGTGCAATCTTAATGCCATCATTGGTTTGTGGTGGTAAATAGACAGCCATGAAAAATATAGATAAAAACTCTCTTGGTAAATAGTGTGGTCTACAGCTTATCATATGATACTCTACCTCAGGCGAGCAAAACCTCAAGACTTCCTTAGTATTTGGTTTGGTGCACCAACTGTTGTTTACAAATATACACAAACCACCACCCCTTTTCTTACCGGAGTCAGCCGTTCTATCCTGCCTATGTAGCGTATATCCCATCAGCTGTATGTGTCCATGTCGTCGTTCAGCCACGACTTGGTGAAACATAAGATATTACAGTTTTTAATGTCCCGTTGGTAGGATAACCGTAATATTAGGTCATCTAATTTATTTTCAAATTATTGAACATTGGCTAATAGGATTGATGGAAGAGGCAGTTTACTCGCTCGCCGTCGGATCCTTACAAGGCACCCCGACCTATGTCCACGATATCTCTCTCTTTCTCCTGCGAATGACGGGGATTTGGGCCTTGTCGGGTGTCTGTAGGAGATCCTTCGCGTCCAACTCGTTGAAGAAAAATTATTCGTCCAATACGAGGTGAGTAATCGCTGTCCTGATATCCAGAAGCTCTTTTTGGTTATAAGAGATGATGGCAGAAACATTATGTACTGAATAAATTACAAATAACGCGAAAAAACACACACAATAGTACAATTGGTTAGAGGGCTGTAATTCGGCAGCCATCTTCTCCGGCGCCATTAATGTGAGGAGGGGGATGGGTGATTTTATTTTGGTTTGTGGTAGGCCTCATGATGAATATTAGGGATCAGTCTGTCTGAAACCCGAATTAAGTCATACACAATTTAATTCATACATATCCCCCAATAAATGTACTTCTTTTAACTTTTAGGAAAGACCCTGATATGATTACTTCTATTAACCTAAGAGATGAGTGAATACATCATTCACAGTATTCACACGTTTTCAAATAAAATCAACATTTATTTATCACGTGCTTCGTAAACAACATGTGTAGACTAACAATGACATGCGCTTCCCAACAATGCAGAGAGGGGGAAAATATACATAGTAGAACAAATAGCAAAAAACATTGAAAAATAATAACACGAGGAATAAATAAACTATGAGTAACTTGGCTATATACACGAGGTAACAGTACAGAGTCGATGTGCAGGGGTACGAGGTAATTGAGGTAGATATGTACATATAGGTAGGGATAAAGTGACTAGGCAACGGGATAGATAATAAACTGTAACAACAGCGTATGTGATGAGTCAAAAGTGCAAAAAGGGTCAATGCAGATATTCCGAGTAGCTATTGGTTAACTATTTAACGAACTATTTAGCAGTCTTATTGCTTGGGGCTAGAAGCTCTTCAGGGTTCTGTTGGTTCCAGATTTGGTGCATCGGTACTGCTTGCCGTGTGGTAGCAGAGAGAACAGTTTGACTTTGGTGGCTGGAGTCTTTGACAATTTCTGGGGAGAATGGATAATGCCCATGTTGTATGTGGCCAGTCACTAAATAGGGCAACTGGACCACCATTATCATTTTGAAGTGATTACTACTACTAAAAAAAATATCTAATCATAATACTGTATTACAGTCCAAGAGCCTGAAATCCTCCTCACCCGAAGTCTCTTGTAAACAAGTGACTCAAAACGTGACGCTAAATGTTCTGTCCCGTTTCCTCTGTCTTCTCATTAATTCAGATGGTGTTGTAATGGGCCTTTGTCCTATTCTGGGCTCCAGTCTGAGGTGATTTGTCAAAGTGCCAGTGTCCTTTAGCTCAGAAATGCAGTGGAGGGAGGGAGGGTGAAGAGACACCCTAATTTCAAAGGTAATCGGCTGTCCACTGCACCTCTCTGTAAGCGTGGTCTGTCTTTCTTAAACAGTTTATTGAGACTCCATTAAACCTAATTGTTGGATTAGATAAGTACTGTTGGCCTGCAGGGTTTTACCAGGTGAGGTGGTGTGAATCTGTAGTAGGTTAATATTCAATGAATAGGCTTAATCTGGGCCTGTTTTAGGTTCCGATCCCAACCCAGTCTCCCTCCCTCTCCTCTGCCAGGGCTTGTCGAGCATGGGCGTAACTGGCCAGCCATTGCCAAGATGGTGGGCACCAAGAGCGAGGCTCAGTGCAAGAACTTCTACTTCAACTACAAGAGACGGCACAACCTGGACAACCTGCTCCAGCAACACAAGCAGGTACAGCAACACTCAACACGATTGTGTTCATATGGGCACACAAAAAATGAAATTAAAATACAATGGCAATAAAAGAGCTTACCTTATCGTCCAAGGAGTCCCTCCCGGTTTCAGTTTGTTTTCTTCAGTTTAGTGCCTAATGAATACACCCCTGTTCAGGTACAATGTGAAGAGGTTTTATTTCTGTAACGTCTATCAGAACATGTATGTCTGTCACTGTCTTTAAACTATCTTTAAGGTATTTTCTGTATTAACCAGAGGAGCAGTGAAGTTGTAGTCTGTTCTATAACCTGTGTTTGTTCAGGACACACGGCGGGCGCGGGGTGATCGAGACCCGTCGCAGAGCGAGAGCATGGCCTCAGCTGACGACGACGAAAACCCAGAGGAAAGCGATGGTCAGTCAGAGAGATGACACACCCACACCAGAGTCGCACACCATCCATCTGTTTATCCAAACTCACATTCAGACACACTTACACTGTCTGCACAGCCCAAAACACAAACACAACCATTGTTAAGAATTTTTTTTGATTATTATTTATTTACTTTTGATCTGAGTGAATGTACGATGTAGTAGTGAGTGTGTGTGAATGAGCGAGAGAGAGAGAGAGAGAGAGAAAGACACTGGGAGTTAGAGAAACGCCTCTATAGAAGAGTGAAGAGAACTGTAAGAGTGAGTCCACTTCAGAAAGAACCTCTTGAACTGTCTGTCTTGTGAAAATTTGATTTGAATGAATGGCGAAGGAGCCCCAGTAATTTCTCTATACTGTCTATAGTTTTAATGAGAGAGAAAAAAGGGATCAAATGTAAAGGGAGAAGGCGGGGGGGAAAGCGAGAGATAAAAGATGTGAACTAATTCTGACTGCTGGGCCTGGGTTATGTAACTGTTCCTTGGCTTTGAAGAGTCAAGAAAGCATTCTGCATGGAATGCTGAGTGCTGCTCCACTCGTTTGATCCACAGGGCCTCCCCGTCTCTCTCTTTCTCCCCTTTGCTCTCTCCCGCTCTCTCTCCTCCTATCCCCCTCTCTGTCCTCCACTCCATCTCTCCCCAACTCTCTGCTCTCTTCCCATCACTCCGTCTCTTTCTCCCTCTCCTCTGCATCTCTTCACTCCCCCATCACTCTCCCTCTCCACTTGCCGTCTTCTCTCTCAATCTTGCTCTTGCTCTCACTCTCTCCACTCTTTAAAGTTCTAAAATGCTGTCGGAACAGGGCAGAAAGGGCCTGTTTTGAATATTCAACTCCCTTGCCCTACAATGCTCTGCCACGTATGGGGATGGGTTAATGGATGTGAGTCCAGATTAAGTCTGGGACCTTTCCATTTCATCCTGGCCCTAAATGTCCTCATGAATTCAATGTCTCCCTGGGTTTGTCACAGACCGATCACTCACTGTCTGTCACTCTTGGCCATCTCTCTCTCTCTCTCTCTCCCTCTCTGCTCCCCTTCTCACCCTCTATCTCTCTATTTCTCTATTTTGGAGTGGAGCCCCAATCTCCCTCCAGCTTTTGGCTGTGGTAAAGTAAAGTGGCTGAGGTGAAGCAAATCGGTTTAGGGTTGAGCCTCTCACCTGACCGGGAGGAGGGAGGTAGTAGAGGCTTTCCCGTACTCTTGCAGCCTGCTAGTCTCTCTGTGCCTGTCTCTCTCTCTCCCTCCCACTGCCTCTCTGCCCCTCCTGATGACAACCAACTACGATCCGGTAGTTGAAAAGTTGTCGGGACTACAGGAGGTCACTATATCATGTGTTGTTTTTGAAGCTCTTATTGACTCCCAAGGAAACCCAAATCTGTCCTCAAGGTCTTAGTTGGTTGGTGTAACTGCCTGCTGACTGCAGAGTGTCACGTGATTGAGCATTGCCAGTAATGCTGCTGGGAGGGCAATGTTCAGTGTTCTTAAAACCCTGCTTCTGTCTGAGGGGACACATTTTGATTAGTTTTTTTTGGTCACCTTATCTGGACAGAATCTTTGGCGTTTGATTTGATTCAGTTTGACCTCTGTGTCAGATTTATCTTGGCATCGACATATGCTTTATTTTATTATTTTCATTATTCAAGGTTCAGGTTTCTTCTCTCCATGGCAACAGTGCCAGACACAGGCAACATTGCATGCATCATTGGTTTTATGGTTTGCAGCATATTTATGCATTTTATGTGGTCTGTGTTTTTATCTATACTGCATATTTTTATCCATAACATTTCTATCTGCATTGATCAGTATGTGTCCCTCTCCCCAGGGTCAGTTCCTATGTATGCCATGCAGAGGGATTTGAGTGCGTCTCACCCATGTCTTCTCCTGTTCTGTGTGCCCTTACAGGTGGAGAGAATAGCTCAGACACAGAGAGCGCCCCGTCCCCGTCCCAGGCGGACCCCTCCAAGGCCGGAGGGGATTCCCAGAGGGGAGACAGAGCTGGAGGGTCAGAGAACCAGCGGTCTGACCAGGACAAGGGCCAGGCTAGCAATGGGAGGGTCCAGGAGCTGCCCTACGGGGAGCTGAGGGTCAAGCTGGAGAAGAGCCCCGAGGTAGAGGCCAGAGAGCCTGGCTATCAGGAGGACGGGGAGAGGGCCCAGGTGGCCTACGAGGGCCATGGGCACCCCAAGAGCGAGCCCCAGGACGTGGACATGAAGCCTGGGGGTGCTGGGGCCGGGGAGGTGCAGGTGAAGGTAGAGCCTGACTCTGCCAAGGAGAAGGGGGACAAGGGGGAGCATGAGAGGCAGAGGGAGGGGCACCACTCGGACAACGACTCCAGCGCCACCTGCAGCGCGGACGAGGATGTAGACGCTGAGCCCGAGAGACAGAGGTGGGTCAGGCTGGTGATCACAGGGATGGGATTAAGGCCACTTGATTTTAAAAACTAAGCTATTTGGGTGACGCTAATGATCACTCAGCTGTTGATACTATCAGTATAGGAGATCAGATGAGGGCAAAATGTACTTGGATTAATTATTAAGGTGGTAAATGGTTGATATTATTAGTGGTAATTGAATCGTTCCATACAGGACTCCTTTATCGTAACTCCTGTGACCATTACCTCAACTCTTTCTGACCAGTGTGTCTCACCGTTCCTCTGCTGTCTCCCCCTCTCTCCTGTGACCTCGTTGCTCAGCCCTCCTGGCTCAGTGCTGATGTCCACGGCCAAGCAGGCCCACCTCAACATGCAGCAGCTCCAGCAGCGCGCCGCTACCATCCCGCCCATGGTCAGTCACTATAGCAACCCACACTTTTCTATGATCAGATATGCCCATTCGGAGAGGCAGGCACACGGAGGCAGGCAGCAGGGGGAAAGCATGTCTTATTTAGACCAACCTCCCTGTCAAGTGAGTCCATCATCCCCTGCACTTTTCCAACCAACCTGTCAATCAATCAATTCTTACCAATCATTAATTTTCTGTCATTGAAATGTTCAATCAATCAGTTGATCAATGTGTCAGCATGGATCTAAATCAATCAAATTGTGCCCATCTGTTGTGTAATCTAATCATGCTAATGTGCTGACACTGTCAAATTGTTTTCTGATGTCAATTTATTTCCCTCCAATGACCTCTTCTATGGTGCTTCTGTCTCTCTATTTCTTATGGAATGAGATCAGACAAACTGGATCGTTTAAGCAGTGGGGCCGAGATTTGCGTGCAAAACACGAACACTATCTAATCTGACAGCTGTTTAGCTAATTTCTTTACATTTCATTCATCCAATAAGGTCCATTATCTGTTCTCTGGGATGGTTTAAAGAGATGCGCTAGTACTATTCTTAGTACTATTAGAGGGCAATGCATCAGCCGCTCGCTTCACTGGTACAGAGCTTGTGTGTCCCCCCAGTCTTCCTCACATGGGCATCTCTCCTCGCCCCCTTCCTGTAGGTGGGGCCTTTCGGCCCTGGCGGAATGCCCATAGGAGCACCCCTCAGCGGTTTCGCCATGTTCCAGCACCAGATCACGGCTGTGCACGAGTCGGCCCACGCTGAGGAGAAACAGAGGCAGGACCAGGCTGACCCCGAGCGCAGCAGACAACCCCCCAACTGCCCCGGCTTCACCACCCACAGCCCCACCATACTGGACAGGGAGGGTAAGAGAGAGTACACACAAACACATACACGCCTACACACACACCGATATCCTCCCTCTGAGCCCTTACCTACCTGAGCCTCTCAACCAACAGCAGCCTATTTGTAGCCAATGCATTTATTCTGTCCCGTTCGCTGTAGTTCACCGTCAAAAAAGGAAATATGAGAGGAGAGAGAGAGCAGGTTCAGACTGCCACTCTAAAATGTCTCTGAGCCAGAACAAGATGTTAGCTGACCCCATTTTACCTGTGATGCGAACATCAAAACCTGAAGCCTCTGATGGGGAAGGCTTGTTTTTCCTGAAATGCCTCTGGGGGAAGAGAGGGATTCTGCTGTCAACTTTTGAAGGAGCATGTCTTGACTGTGTCAGAGCAGGACACAGTCAGTGCCTCCCAGGCAAACCGACAGAGAAGGGGTCCTATTTTTAACAGCAGGAGAGTCATTCAGCCACAAAGGTCACATCACCCTAGCCTGTTTCGGAGTCTGAATGGTGAAAGAGGGAAAGTGTGTGATTAGACACCCAAGCTAAAAAGGTTTTCGGATAGTCTCGTAATACCATATTTGAAGAAGCCTGCAAAATCTAAGTTCGTGTTGGTGCAGTAAAGCAGGCTGAGGTTGTTTTGTGAAAACTGCGAATTCATGCCAAGATGCTTCTCAATAATTTTTTGTTGATTTTGGAATGTATAATCAAAATCAACAGCATGTGTCCTCAGATAACTGATGAATTTCCTTTAATTGTGTTTCATCTTCTGATTCTTTGTCTATTTGTGTGTGTAATTTATCTTGTGGCAGTGTTTTCATTCATGTGTCTCTGTTCTGTGTTGTGTTCTCCAGGTAAGCCCTTCCCCTACATGCCTTATGATATGAAGATGGCTCTGGAGCAGGAGGCCCAGTCTGGTCGGCCAGGCTCTCCCTACAGGCTCTCTCCCAGGGACATGAGCAAGGCCTCTCCTCAGCCCAACGACCCCAATGCCTCCCGCTACAGCGTGCCTCCAGGTGACCGCCCTCTGCTCTATCCTCCCCCATCTGGCCTCCTCTCTACCATTCACATAGCCTGGTCCCATACTGTTTGTGCTGTAGCCAACTCTTCTTCCGTTGGCTAAAGCTCGTACAGAACAGTTGGCCTTATTTTTTTCCACCCCACCCCCTACTCTTTCCCCTTTATCTCTGTGAGTAGATTAAGCTGCATTGTAGCTGGCCTTGAGCATCTATCTGTCCCTATCATGAATTAATATTAACATTACACACACAGCCTGGCTGCAGTAAGCTTTATCAGTATTTCATTATGGAGTAGCTTGTTTTCTTATCTCTCGGTGTGAGCTGCAAGGGTGCTGACATCTGTGCCTTCTGTAGGAACTCCCCCAGACAAATTAGCATTTTTGATTTAGTAAAGTGCAGGGGCATGGAGGCCAGGCGTGCGGCGGGGCGGAAGGGAGCGGGAGTTGCTTCCTCAAGGAAGGTCACTCCTGGTCACCGTGACTCACTAACAGGATAAAACACAGACCGACATCTCTCCCTGAGGCCCCGAGGCAGCTCCTACAGATGTCTAGGCCTGCCCCAGCATTTTAACTCTAGCTACCAAACTCACTTCACTGTTCGCTTCAGTCTGGGAAATCTGTGGGGGCAGGCTTAAACATCTGTGGGAGCAGCCTCAGGGCAAATCAATATTTGATCATCGTGCACTCATAGATGGGAGATGGGCTGCTGGTGGAGCCTTTTGTTAAGACTAATTAATGATTCACTGGCTGAGAATGAGAAACAATTTGGGCTGAATTGAGTTGCAAATTGAAGGAAATGGCACCCCCAAAAACAATATCCATACTGGACATCAATTGAGTTTCTTTTTTCCTGAGGTGTTTTTGGTGCAATAGTGCAGATACTTTTCAGTGCCTCTGGATTCTCTATTCTTGCCACACATTTGTTGTGTGTTTTCTCTTTCCTTACTTACCCTATCCTGGACAAGTCTCATGCTAAATGACCATATTATTGAGGGTGTCACTTTCTAACTTTGGCTGTTTTTCTTTCCTCTCCCAGTGCTCCACCCAGCTCCCAACCAGGTGGTCCAGAGCCTGCCCGATGGAGTCCGTGTGACTTTCTCTAGACACAGCCGTCCCGCCAACATTCCATCTCCTCCGCCGCTCATTCCAACCTCCAAACCCACAGACAAGCCTTCCTTTATCCAGGGTGGCTCCATCTCACAGGTAAGACCCTATCCATCAGGTGAGGGCTCAGGTCCAGCCAGCCCCCTGGTAAGACCCACACAGGTGTAGCTGGACAGGGCCGTTTCTAGCATTTTGAGGGCCCTAGCAGTCCCATGTGCAGCCTTTCCCAAGCTAGGGGTCGCGACCTAATGTGGGGTCGCCTGATTTGAAAATGGGGTCGTGAGAGAAACTCTGAAATACATTTTAAATGCACTTGTTTCATAGAACTGGGCGGTTTCTGTTTTCTTCCTACAGATGTGACTCTATCATTTGAACGGTTTATGCTACAAAATATAATGACCCCATCACCGAAAGATAAGACTCTCAGGAACACGTATGGGTCTTCTGTTTCCCTCTACAATGCAACAAGCCTCATTAGAACAGAGTAGTCATGAGGAGGCACTAAATCAGAGTGTGGGAATAAGAACATCAATGATGATGTTCTTTTCTACGCAGAAGATCATACAACATTATTGCCTGATGATCTTCTGAACTTCCCAATACCTTTCTGATGCATTTCAGTCACTTGAAACTAAACTGTCTTCAGATTGGAAAAACTGCCAAAACTACTGTCAGACTGATTTGTAATATAATGTCATAGCCCCAATTAAAAAAGTAAGCATTGGCTGTTGATAACAGTTTTTCGGCACCATTCTCTCTTTCTCGTTGTCATAATATAACAGTATTTGTTGTGTGATAATGATTTACTAAGAAACCGATAAGGGTATTTGCCTTTGTAGCACACGGTAGTCTGTTTTTCTAACTGTTACTAGCCAATATGCCAAAGGGGAAACTTTGGTACATGTCACTTGGATCCACCTTTATTTGTGGACATTGCACCTTCCCTGTATTTCCCTGCTGTATAATTCCAGACAAGTTTCAAGGTTTTTCAGAAATCTCAGTTAACCAACTGGAATTTTGCAACCCTGACCTGATTCTGACCTGTCTGTTCCGGCCATTTCAGGGGACTCCTGGTACGTACCTGCCGTCTCACGCGGTCTACGGTGGCCCAGAGGGGGCAAAGAGCTCTGTGGGCTCCATATCCCTGGGCCTGCCCAGGCAGCAGGACCCCCCCAAGCCTGGTATGACAAGCCAGTCTGGACAACACACACACCCTACCCACATTCCAATTACTAAACTAGCATACTACTTACAATAAATGCCCAATACATGTCTTCTTACTAAGTGGTATGCTAGTGTGGATAATGGAACATAGCCCTGCTGTCTATCATCATCTCCTTTCCTCTCACTGCTATTAGATTGGCATGAGAGAGAGCCATATTGTCAAAGTTTGATCTCATTCAGACCTGATGTGACAGTCCCAAATGTCCCACTTCCCTTCCCTAATTGTCCCCTGTTCATTCCCTCCATCTCCCTCCCTTCCTCTCCCTAGTGACCTACATTAAGCAGGAGGAGTGTTCTCCGCGTGGCCAGTCTGAGGGCCTCCTCTCTCGGACGCAGTATGAGGGGGTAGTCAGAGGTGCGTGTCTGTCAGTATGTCCATCTCACAACCTTTCCATCTGTGTGTCAACCTGTCTGTCCTTGCCTTCTGTGTGTTTCCCCTTTCACCGTGGTAAAGTGTGTGAGTATGTCACTCACCACACCGGTGCTGATTCCAACAGTGAATACTCAGAAACCACACCTGTTCAAATAATATATGAAATCTTTCAAATACTCAGTGTTTGCCTGCCTGGAGTGGCAGATGGGTGGGATTTGCATTTCTGGGACAAAATATTTCAAATACTATTTGAACTCAGGTCTGTGAGACATTTAGAGAAAAATAGCATTATCGCAGGCTGAGAGAGAAAATAGAAGAATGAAGTGGATGAGTCTGGCCCTGACCTCCACCCTACCTCCCTCTGTTTGCACAGACCTGACAGAATGTGGCATGCTGGTGAGGGAGGGAGGGAGAGAGAGGGAATGGGCCTTCACAAGCCCAAGTTCAACGAGCACCTCCTCTCACCAGCAGTCCTCCTCACACCTTCTTCTACAACTGACCTCTGAGATGACATGGGGGTGTGGTGTGGAAACCTCAGTCTCCCTCTTTCAGGCTTCAGCCAATTGCTCTACTTTTCTCCCTGAAGTGTGCATTTGTTCACTCCCCCTCAAAGATTTAAAAACATTACATTAGTGTAGCCAGAGTGTACCATATTTCTTACACCACTTATTTTAAAAGTACACAGTTCAGGGAGAATGAGGGAAAATTGGAATTGGGCTTGAGTGATTCTGACCAGGAATATAATGCGAACAACTGTACAGCCCTCATGTATCCATGCATACCAACCTCTCTCTCTCTCTCTCAATCTCTGTCTCTGTCTCTCTGTGTGTTGTCTTCCTTCTAGGAGGCCCAATGGATGGGGGTATCAGCAGAGGAAACCCAGCCAGAGGATCAATCACACAGGTATTAGAATGACATTAACATTGTTAAACCAGTCTGCGTATCCAAGCACCACCCTGTCTATGGACATCTTATAGAACAACTTAGTTTATGATTATGTATATCTGTGTGTATACTATGAAGTAGTCTAATATTCTTGGAGCAAATTTCTTCGAAATGAAAAATGTAACATTTTTAAAATAGTTGAGTTTCTGGTTGCTGATCTTCTCCCTCTCTCTGGACCTATTTCTCTCTCCTTATCCCTTTCTCTCTCTCGCTCTCCCTTTCTTCTGTGTGACCAGGGCACGCCAGCCCTGTCCGGGTCCAGCATTGCGGCTGACCTGCTGAAGGGTACCATCACCAAGCTGCCCACGGAGGACCTGAGCAGCCCAGAGAAGGCTCGGGAACAGCTGGCCAAGGGACACGTCATCTACGAAGGCAAGAGTGGACACATCCTCTCCTACGACGGTAAGGCTAAGTTCTGTTAGTGGTCACTCTGACTTGATCCTCTTGTAAATCTGTAATTAATCTCCTGTCTCCGTAGCCATTAAGAACCCAAGAGAGGCCACGCGTAGCCCCAGGACAGGCCATGAGCTCAAACGCTCCTACGATATGATGGAGGTCGCCAGAGGCCACCCCGGGAGAGAAGGAGCTCCCTTCGAAGGTAAGGCGTGTGTGTGTGTGTGTGAGAGTTTTTTTTTTCTTCTACCCTCATCTCTGTGCATATATTCAGGCCACTGTGTGAGAGTGACTGACTGTGTGTGTTTGTCAGGGTTGATCAGCCGAGCCCTGCCCAGAGACAGTCCCCACGGGGAGTCTAAAGAGAGGCCCATGATGGCTGGATCCATCATGCAAGGTAATTAAGTTATCAGGTGTCATCACAGCTCCAAAGCTCAGATGTACTGGGGCATGAGCCAGAACGTGGCAGTTCAGAGAATTACAATGCAGACAAATGTATGTAAATCAGTAAATTGAAAACAGCTAATTAAATTAAATTCAGCAGATATGATTTTTACTATGTAAATGTAACCCACATTAAAGCTGAAATCTGAAATGGCACCACTGTTCGCCCCCCCAGTGCATTTTTTGTTTTGTTGATGAAACAGAGGAACAATGCTGTTCAATCGCATGTGCAATGATGTCCGAGGGAAATAAAATGTGTTTGTTGTTTGAAGTAACTTCTTTGTTGTTATATCGTGTCATTTTCACCAAGTACAGATTCCAGCTTTAAGCCAAGTTTCAAATTCATTTGTGTTTTTCTCTTCCCACTCCAGGTACACCCAGAACCTCTGCAGAGGCCTATGAGGAGAGCATGAAGTACAGCAAGCAGATAAAGAGGGAGAGCCCACCCATCCGCTCCTTTGAGGGGGGGATAGGTAAGGGTAAGCCCTACGAGGGGGTGAACACCATTAAGGAGATGGGCCGCTCCATCCACGAGATCCCCCGCCAGGAGCAGCCTGGACAGGACCCCCGCAAGACCCCCGACATGGCTGGCAACATCCGAGCCTCCATGGAGGGCTCCATATCCCAGGTGCGTGTTTGTGAGGGAGAGGGAGCACATTGGTGTGTGTGTGACAGTGTGTGTTATTAGCTTGATTTGACTGAGTTCATCCACTCAGTCTGTCTGTTCTCACCAGCAGACACTCTAATTCCTCCTCTCCTTTCTCTACCAGGGCCATCCTCTGAGCCAGTCGGCCATCAAGCACAACGTCAAGTCCCTGATCACCAGTCCCAGTAGGCTGTCCCACGGCCACACCATGCCCCCGCTGGAGGCCATGGAGCGAGCCAAGTATGAGGAGAGCAAGGCGGCGGCGGAGCAGCGGGCGCGCCACACCTCTGTGGTCAACTCAGCCACCTCCGTCCTGCGTTCCACCCACCAGGAGCAAGGAAAGTCCCAGCTCAGCCCGGGCATGTACCAAGATGCCGACGCCCGCAGGACCCCGGTCAACTACAGCACTAGCTCCATGTCCAGAGGCTCACCAATGCTGGGCCGAGGACAGGAGGGTACGTCTTGTCTGACCCATCCCTCTCTTAGTCTTCACTTTCAATGCAGATGTATCCTGTCAGCTGTATCTGACTGCACCATGTAGTTTCACTGTACAGCAATTATTCACAAGCAATGATGGGGCCATCATTACAATTTGCCGACATTGAAAGTGTTGAACACATTTTTGTATTAGATATTCATTTTTACTGTACTATATATAAACCAAGTTTATTGTGACTTTGTATTGATGAAACCCATTTGTAATTGTGATAATTTCTCCCCTATCCAGGCTCTGGGAAGCCTGCGTCCCACGACAGGAAGAGTGCCATGACCCCTACTCAGAGGGACAGTGTTCCAGCCAAGTCCCCTGTGTCAGGGGGTGACCCCAACCACCCTATGGCCTCCCACAGCCCCTTCGACCCCCACCACCGCCCCATGGCCCCCGGAGAGCCCCGCTTCCACCTGCCTCCACACCTAGACCCTGCCCTCTTCCACAGGGCTGTCCTGGACCCAGGTAGGACACTCACACACACCCTGCTACCCAGCCACCCCCAGTGAACCTAAGCCAACCTCTGTTAAACGACAAAATAATAGACCTGAATCCTGGAATGATAGAATGATTCTGGGTAAACTGATGAAGGGTATCTTTGGCATCTCTCATTCGTAGGCACTGAATGTCCTGTCTAGTCTCCGGTTGAGTCAATTGACGTCAGTAGGGAGTGATTACTCTGTTCGCCTGTTGTTCATATTATTGGTCTCTGTTTGCTCCTCACCTATCCCCCTCTTCCCCCCTGCAGCTGCGTACATGTTCCCGAGGCAGCCGTCCCCAACGGGCTATCACAACACCTACCAGCTGTACACCATGGAGAACACGAGGCAGACCATCCTCAATGATTATATCACCTCCCAGCAGATGCAGGTTATCCCACGGCCCGACGTTACCAGGGGCCTGTCGCCACGGGAACAGCAACCAATAGCTCTGTCTTACCCTCCCGGAGCGCGAGGTACTGGACTCTGGTGGCTGGCTTGTCTGTGTGTCCCTCTCTCACGGGAGGGAGGGAGGTGGGGAGGTGGTTGGGTGGGTAGTATGCAGGCTGTGTGCTTGTGAATTAGTGGCTACCTTTTCCAGACGCTCAGAAGCAAATGACCCTGACAAATTGCCTCATCATATTGATTTAAAATTTTATTTTATTATTGCTGATTTGTTTATGTACAGTGGGGAGAACAAGTATATGATACACTGCCGATTTTGCAGGTTTTCCTACTTACAAAGCATGTAGAGGTCTGTAATTTTTATCATAGGTTCACTTCAACTGTGAGAGACGGAATCTAAAACAAAAATCCAGAAAATCACATTGTATGATTTTTAAGTAATTAATTTGCATTTTATTGCATGACATAAGTATTTGAACACCTACCAACCAGTAAGAATTCCGGCTCTCACAGACCTGTTAGTTTTTCTTTAAGAAGCCCTCCTGTTCTCCACTCATTACCTGTATTAACTGCACCTGTTTGAACTCGTTACCTGTATAAAAGACACCTCTCCACACACTCAAACAAACAGACTCCAACCTCTCCACAATGGCCAAGACCAGAGAGCTGTGTGAGGACATCAGGGATAAAATTGTAGACCTGCACAAGGCTGGGATGGGCTACAGGACAATAGGCAAGCAGCTTGGTGAGAAGGCAACAACTGTTGGCGCAATTATTAGAAAATGGAAGAAGTTCAAGATGACGGTCAATCACCCTCGGTCTGGGGCTCCATGCAAGATCTCACCTCGTGGGGCATCAATGATCATGAGGAAGGTGAGGGATCAGCCCAGAACTACACGGCAGGACCTGGTCAATGACCTGAAGAGAGCTGGGACCACAGTCTCAAAGAAAGCCATTAGTAACACACTACGCCATCATGGATTAAAATCCTGCAGCGCACGCAAGGTCCCCCTGCTCAAGCCAGCGTATGTCCAGGCCCGTCTGAAGTTTGCCAATGACCATCTGGATGATCCAGAGGAGGAATGGGAGAAGGTCATGTGGTCTGATGAGACAAAAATAGAGCTTTTTGGTCTAAACTCCACTCGCCGTGTTTGGAGGAAGAAGAAGGATGAGTACAACCCCAAGAACACCATCCCAACCGTGAAGCATGGAGGTGGAAACATCATTCTTTGGGGATGCTTTTCTGCAAAGGGGACAGGACGACTGCACCGTATTGAGGGGAGGATGAATGGGACCATGTATCGCGAGATTTTGGCCAACAACCTCCTTCCCTCAGTAAGAGCATTGAAGATGGGTCGTGGCTGGGTCTTCCAGCATGACAACGACCCGAAACACACAGCCAGGGCAACTAAGGAGTGGCTCCGTAAGAAGCATCTCAAGGTCCTGGAGTGGCCTAGCCAGTCTCCAGACCTGAACCCAATAGAAAATCTTTGGAGGGAGCTGAAAGTCTGTATTGCCCAGCGACAGCCCCAAAACCTGAAGGATCTGGAGAAGGTCTGTATGGAGGAGTGGGCCAAAATCCCTGCTGCAGTGTGTGCAAACCTGGTCAAGACCTACAGGAAACGTATGATCTCTGTAATTGCAAACAAAGGTTTCTGTACCAAATATTAAGTTCTGCTTTTCTGATGTATCAAATACTTATGTCATGCAATAAAATGCAAATTAATTACTTAAAAATCATACAATGTGATTTTCTGGATTTTTGTTTTAGATTCCGTCTCTCATAGTTGAAGTGTACCTATGATAAAAAATTACAGACCTCTACATGCTTTGTAAGTAGGAAAACCTGCAAAATCAGCAGTGTATCAAATACTTGTTCTCCCCACTGTATATGTTGGGGCTGCAGCTGACTACAGCTAATACTCAATTTTATAAATTGGGTGTTGACAAACTTCCAATTTTTATTTGCCCAGTGGTTACCTCTTACAATGTGACCACCACTCCACACACCTTTTTGAAAAAATAAGCAGCCCTTTTACAAAAAAATATATATTATTTTTGAGCACTGTTCAGAGTAAGGTGACTGGTAAAACCAAGGCTACTGTACACAGTGTTCATTCATAACTCTTCAAATTGATCCTATGGATTTGGTTCGTGTTGCTCACCGTTGGCCCTTTGCTTCTGTCTGTAAAAGGGATTATTGATCTAGCCCAGATGCCTCCAACTATCCTGTTGCCTCACCCTGGGGGAACAGGTACTCCCACTTTGGACCGCATCACCTACATCCCTGGAGCTCAACCCCCTTTCCCTCCTAGGCCTTTCAACCAAGCCTCCATATCTCCAGGTGAGGACCCCATCCTGCCCCAACCCCGACCTGACACCCCTCTTGTTCCTTTATACCCTCCTCCTAACCCCACAGCCCCTTATGCACTCTGCCCTGCTGCACTCCCCTGAGGTCTGAGAATCTGAGCGTACCTCTACGCACCTCTATGGACCAGATCTAAATAAACACATAGTTCAGTAACTTCTCTTCTCAAAATCAGACTTTCGGTTTGCCTCATTTATTGGGAAATGTAAGCAATAAATTAAAAATAGTTCAATTTGAGGTCAACATCACGGTGGGACACTCTTCTCTCTGTCTTGTCAGGCATTCACAACAGCACTGTGTGCTTAAGGCGGCCCAACCACTCTTCTTACCCCTCAGCGATGGTGTCCTAAGTAGAGATGGTGTGTAAACCTACTGTGTGTGTTGTCTGTTTCTTTGTGTCTACAGGCCACCAAGCCCACCTCGCAGCTACTGCAGCGGCCAACCAGGAGCGAGAACGAGAGAGGGAGCGTGAAAGAGAAAGGGAGCGAGATCGAGAGCACCGAGAGAAAGAGAGAGAAAGGGAGCACAGGGAGCGGGAACAGGAGCACAGACAACGAGAGCGTGAGCGAGCAGTGGCTGCAGCGGTTGCCAATGACTACATGCGTGGAGGTGAGACTCATTGTCATTATATTGTATATTGCTGTACAGTGTCATCAATAATACAGAAATGTATGTGAATGTGAACAATTTAATAGTAGTTTATTTCGATTGAACCTGGCTGGACAGATGCTCTTCCGGAGTTAAGGATTTATGTAGCCTGGCTTTTGCACAGTGGTGGAAAAGCCATTATAAGCTTCTATCTTTGAATTGCTCTTCTCTGTTATTGAAGTCTACTCTTATTTGTCCCCCAGGTCCAGGGCAGCCAGACAGACCAGGTAGCCGTGGTTACCTGCGTAGCCCCTCCCCCTCTATGAGGTCACAGGATGCCCAGCAGCAGCGGCCCAGCATCTTCCAGGGAGCCAACAGCAAGGGTGTCATCACCCCTCTCATGTGAGTCTAAGCATGCTCTTCTCTGGCCTCATAAGCCCTGACCTCACCTCATGTAAACTCTGAGTCTTAGTGTGTATGTGTACTGTTAATCCATTCTTATGGGCATACTTTCAGTTGCACGTTAGGAGCATACCTGCCTGCACTAAATATTTTATAATGTTATGCCGTTTGCAATGAAGACCCTCACAAAACATAACAGCCCTTCTTACCCTCTACCTTGTTCTATATATATATATATATACAGTGAAGGAAAAAAGTATTTGATCCCCTGCTGATTTTGTACGTTTGCCCACTGACAAAGACATGATCAGTCTATAATTTTAATGGTAGGTTTATTTGAACAGTGAGAGACAGAATAACAACAACAAAATCCAGAAAAACGCATGTCAAAAATGTTATAAATTTATTTGCATTTTAATGAGGGAAATAAGTATTTCACCCCTCTGCAAAACATGACTTAGTACTTGGTGGCAAAACCCTTGTTGGCAATCACAGAGGTCAGACGTTTCTTGTAGTTGGCCACCAGGTTTGCACACATCTCAGGAGGGATTTTTGTCCCACTCCTCTTTGCAGATCTTCTCCAAGTAATTAAGGTTTCGAGCCTGACGTTTGGCAACTCGAACCTTCAGCTCCCTCCACAGATTTTCTATGGGATTAAGGTCTGGAGACTGGCTAGGCCACTCCAGGACCTTAATGTGCTTCTTCTTGAGCCACTCCTTTGTTGCCTTGGTCGTGTGTTTTGGCTCATTGTCATGCTGGAATACCCATCCACGATCCATTTTCAATGCCCTGGCTGAGGGAAGGAGGTTCTCACCCAAGATTTGACGGTACATGGCCCCGTCCATCGCCCCTTTGATGCGGTGAAGTTGTCCTGTCCCCTTAGCAGAAAAACACCCCCAAAGCATAATGTTTCCACCTCCATGTTTGACGGTGGGGATGGTGTTCTTGGGGTCATAGGCAGCATTCCTCCTCCTCCAAACACGGCGAGTTGAGTTGTTGCCAAAGAGCTTGATTTTGGTCTCATCTGACCACAACACTTTCACCCAGTTCTCCTCTGAATCATTCAGATGTTCATTGGCAAACTTCAGACGGCCCTGTACATGTGCTTTCTTGAGCAGGGGGACCTTGCGGGTGCTGCAGGATTTCAGTCCTTCACGGCGTAGTGTGTTACCAATTGTTTTCTTGGTGACTATGGTCCCAGCTGCCTTGAGATCATTGATAAGATCCTCCCGTGTAGTTCTGGGCTGATTCTCACCATTCTCATGATCATTGCAACTCCACGAGGTGAGATCTTGCATGGAGCCCCAGGCCGAGAGAGATTGACAGTTATTTTGTGTTTCTTCCATTTGCGAATAATCGCACCAACTGTTGTCACCTTCTCACCAAGCTGCTTGGCGATGGTCTTGTAGCCCATTCCAGCCTTGTGTAGGTCTACAATCTTGTCCCTGACATCCTTGGAGAGCTCCTTGGTCTTGGCCATGGTGGAGAGTTTGGAATCTGATTGATTGATTGCTTCTGTGGACAGGTGTCTTTTATACAGGTAACAAGCTGAGATTAGGAGCACTCCCTTTAAGAGTGTGCTCCTAATCTCAGCTCGTTACCTGTATAAAAGACACCTGGGAGCCAGAAATCTTTCTGATTGAGAGGGGGTCAAATACTTATTTACCTCATTAAAATGCAAATCAATTTATAACATTTTTGACATGCGTTTTTCTGGATTTTTTTGTTGTTATTCTGTCTCTCACTGTTCAAATAAACCTACCATTAAAATTATAGACTGATCATTTCTTTGTCAGTGGGCAAACGTACAAAATCAGCAGGGGATCAAATACTTTTTTCCCTCACTGTATATATCACACACACACACACACACACACACACAGTGCATTCGGAAAGTATTCAGACACCTTCCCCTTTTCCACATTTTGTTTAGTTACAGCCTTATTTTAAAATGGATTAAATAACTAAAATTCCTCATCAATCTACACACAATGACAAAGCGAAAACAGGTTTTTAGAATTTTTTGCAAATTTATAAAAAGAACAAAACAGAAATACCTTATTTACATAAATATTCAGACCCATTGCTATGAGACTCGAAATTGAGCTCAGGTGCATCATGTTTCCGTTGATCATCCTTGAGATGTTTCTACAACTTGACTGGAGTCCACCTGTGGTAAATTCAATTGATTGGACATGATTTGGAAAGGCACACACCTGTCTATATAAGGTCCCACAGTTGACAGTGCATGTCAGAGCAAAAACCAAGCCATGAGGTCGAAGGAATTGTCCGTAGACTCTGAGGCACAGATCTGGGGAACGGTACCAAAACAATTCTGCAGCTTTGAAGGTCCCCAAGAACACAGTGGCCTCAATCATTCTTAAATGGAAGAAGTTTGGAACCACCAAGACTCTTCCTAGAGCTGGCCGCACGGGCAAACTGAGCAATCGGGGGAGAAGGGCCTTGGTCAGGGAGGTTGACTAAGAACCTGATGGTCACTCTGACAGAGCTCCAGAGTTCCTCTGTTAAGATGGGATAACCTTCCAGAAGGACAACCATCTCTGCAGCACTCCACCAATCAGGCCTTTATGATAGAGTGGCCAGACGGAAGCCACTCTTCAGTAAAAGGCACATGACAGCCCGCTTGGAGTTTGCCAAAAGGCACCTAAAGACTCTCAGACCATGAGAAACAAGATTATCTGGTCTGATGAAACCAAGATTGAACTCTGGCCTGAATGCCAAGCGTCACGTCGGGACGACACCTGGCACCATCCCTACGGTGAAGCATGGTGATGGCAGCATCATGCTGTGGGAATGTTTTTCAGCGGTAGGGACTGGGAGACTAGTCAGGATCGAGGGAAAGATTAACGGAGCAAAGTACCTCAGACTGGGGCGAAGTACCTCAGACTGTATGGGTGGTCCCGGGGATCGAACCCACTACCCTGGCGTTACAAGCGCCATGCTCTACCAATTGAGCTACAGAGGACCACAGGTGATTGTGGAGGCCATTTCATCTGATGCAGCACTCCATCACGCTCCTTGGTCAAATAGCCCTTACACAGCCTGGAGGTGTGTTTTGGGTCATTGTCCTGTTGAAAAACAAATGATAGTCCCACTAAGCCCAAACCAGATGTGATGGCGTATCGCTGCAGAATGCTGTGGTAGCCATGCTGGTTAAGTGTGCCTTGAATTCTAAATAAATCACAGACAGTGTCACCAACAAAGCACCATCACACCACCTCCTCCATGCTTCACGGTGGAAACCACACATGCGGAGATCATCCATTCACCTACTCTGTGTCTCACAAAGACACGGCAGTTGGAACCAAAAATCTCAAATTTGGACTCATCAGACCAAAGGACAGATTTCCGCTGGTCTAATGTCCATTGCTTGTCTCTTCTTCATATTGGTGTCTTTTAGTAGTGGTTTCTTTGTAACAATTAGACCATGAAGGCCTGATTCACGCAGTCTCCTCTGAACAGTTGATGTTGAGATGTGTCTGTTACTTGAACTCTGTGAAGCATTTATTTGGGCTGCAATCTGAGGTGCAGTTAAAACCTCTTAAGGATCTGACTCTTTTTATTTCCAATTTCCGCCTAAAATGACATACCCAAATCTAACTGCCTGTAGCTCAGGACCTGAAGCAAGGATATGCATATTCTTGATACCATTTGAAAGGAAACACTTTGAAGTTTGTGGAAATGTGAAATGAATGTTGGAGAATATAACACATATCTGGTAAAAGATAATAGAAACAGAAAATACACTAACCTTCACACATCTAGATGGCCGGAGGGAGATGTGGTGTGGGGTGTGGAGCAAGAGACAGCAGGGTGTCAAACTATAGAACCCAGTTCCTACATTTGAATATAAAAATAGATTTTATAAAACAAAACTATGCTACATTTTATCTCTGGGACCATCAGGACAACAAATCCGAGCAAGATTACTGAATGTAAGTACATTATTTACCTTAAGAGGTGAATGTATCAAACCAGTTGCCGTGACAAAAGTGTTTTGTTGTGCACTATCCTCAAACAATAGCATGGTCTTTTTTAGCTCTAAAAGCTACTGTAATTTATTTTTATTTATTTTTTATTCGCCTTTATTTAACCAGGTAAGCCAGTTGAGAACAAGTTCTCATTTACAACTGCGACCTGGCCAAGAAAGCAAAGCAGTGCGATTTAAAAACAACAACAACACAGTCACATATGGGATAAACAAAACGTACAGTCAATAACACAATAGAAAATCTATATACAGTGTGTGCAAATGTAGTAAATTATGGAGGTAAGGCAATAAATAGGCCATAGTGCAAAATAATTACAATTTAGTATTAACACTGGAGTGATAGATGTGCAGAAGATGATGTGCAAATAGAGATACTGGGGTGCAAAATAAATAACAATATGGGGATGAGGTAGTTGGGTGGGCTAATTACAGATGGGCTGTGTACAGGTGCAGTGATCGTTAAGCTGCTCTGACAACTGATGCTTAAAGTTAGTGAGGGAGATAAGAGTCTCCAGCTTCAGAGATTTTTGCAGTTCGTTCCAGTCATTGGCAGCATAGAACTGGAAGGAATGGCGGCCAAAGGAGGTGTTGGATTTGGGGATGACCAGTGAGATATACCTGCTGGAGCGCATACTACGGGTGGGTGTTGCTATGGTGACCAATGAGCTAAGATAAGGCGGGGATTTGTCTAGCAGTGATTTAAAGATGACCTCGAGCCAGTGGGTTTGGCGACGAATATGTAGTGAAGGCCAGCCAATGAGAGCGTACAGGTCACAATGGTGGGTATTATATGGGGCTTTGGTGACAAAACAGATGTCACTGTGATAGACTACATCCAATTTGCTGAGTAGAGTGTTGGAGACTATTTATTTTGTAAATGACATCACCGAAGTCAAGGATCGGTAGGATAGTCAGTTTTACGAGGGCATGTTTGGCAGCATGAGTGAAGGAGGCTTTGTTGCGAAATAGGAAGCCGATTCTAGATTTAACTTTGGATTGGAGATGCTTAATGTGAGTCTGGAAGGAGAGTTTACAGTCTAACCAGACACCTAGGTATTTGTAGTTGTCCACATATTCTAAGTCAGACCCGCCGAGAGTAGTGATTCTAGTTGGGCGGGCGGGTGCAAGCAGAGTTCGATTGAAGAGCATGCATTTTGATTTTACTAGCGTTTAAGAGCAGTTGGAGGCTACAGAAGGAGTGTTGTATGGCATTGAAGCTCGTTTGGAGGTTTGTTAACACAGTGTCCAATGAAGGGCCAGATGTATACAAAATGGTGTTGTCTGCGTAGAGGTGGATCTGAGAGTCAACAGCAGCAAGAGCGACATCATTGATATACACAGAGAATAGAGTTGGCCCGAGAATTGAACCCTGTGGCACCCCAATAGAGACTGCCAGAGGTCCAGACAACAGGCCCTCCGATTTGACACATTGAACTCTATCTGAGAAGTAGTTGGTGAACCAGGCAAGGCAGTTATTTGAGAAACCAAGGCTATTTAGTCTGCCAATAAGAATGTGGTGATTGACAGTGTCGAAAAGCCTTGGCCAGGTCGATGAAGACGGCTGCACAGTACTGTCTTTTATCGATCGCGGTTATAATATCGTTTAGGACCTTGAGCGTTGCTGAGGTGCACCCATGACCAGCTCGGAAACCAGATTGCATAGCGGAGAAGGTACGGTGGTATTCGAAATGGTCGGTGATCTGTTTGTTAACTTGGCTTTCAAATACTTTCGAAAGGCAGGGCAGGATGGATATAGGTCTGTAACAGTTTGGATCTAGAGTGTCACCCCCTTTGAAGAGGGGGATGACCGCGGCAGCTTTCCAATCTCTGGGGATCTCAGATGTTACGAAAGAGAGGTTGAACAGGCTAGTAATAGAGGTTGCGACAATTTCGTCAGCTAATTTTAGAAAGAAAGGGTCCAGATTGTCTAGCCCAGCTGATTTGTAGGGGTCCAGATTTTGCAGCTCTTTCAGAACATCAGCTGTCTGAATTTGGGTGAAGGAGAAGCGGTAAATTGAACACTGCAATTAGATTAACACGATTTTAAGCTTTCTGCCCATATAAGACATGTCTATGTCCCGGAAAGTTGGCTGTTGTTTACAACTCCATTCTAGTCACATATCGCGTATTGAGCAGCAACCGTCCCGTTATAGGGACACCGATCCTGTAGAGGTTTAACTCGAATGAACTAATCCTCTGCAGCAGAGGTAACTCTGGGTCTTCCTTTCCTGTGGCGGTCCTCATGAGAGCCAGTTTCATCATAGCGCTTGATAGTTTTTGCGACTGCACTCCGGATTGACTGACCTTCATGTCTTAATGTAATGATGGACTGTCATTTCTCTTTGCTTATTTGAGCTGTTCTTGTCATAATATGGACTTGGTCTTTTACCAAATAGGGCTATCTTATGTATACCACCCCTACCTTGTCACAACACAACTGATTGGCTCAAACGCGTTAAGAAGGAAAGAAATTCCACAAATTAACTTTTAAGAAGGCACAACTGTTAATTGAATTGCATTCCAGGTGACTACCACATGATGCTGGTTGAGAGAATGTCAAGTGTGCGCAAAGCTGTCATCAAGTCAAAGGGTGGCTACTTTGAAGAATCTCAAATAAAATATATTTTGATTTGTTTAACACTTTTTTTTGGTTACTACATGATTCCATATGTGTTATTTCATAGTTTTAATGTCTTCACTATTATTCTACAATGTAGAAAATAGTGAAAATAAAGACAAACCCTGGAATGAGTAGGTGTCCAAACTTTTGACTAGTACTGTATATATACTGAACAAAAATATAAACGCAACATGTAAAGTGTTGGGCCTATGTTTCGTCAAATCAAATTTTATTTGCCACATGTGCCGAATAAAACAGGTGTAGACATTACAGTGAAATGCTTACTTACAAGCCCTTAACCAACAATGCAATTTTTTATATATATAAAAAAGTGTTAAGTAAAAAAATAAAAGCTAATAACTAAAGAGCAGCAGTAAAATATAATAACAGTATACAGGGGGGTACCAGTGCAGAGTCAAAGTGCCGGGGCACCGGCTAGTCGAGGTAATTGAGGTAATATGTACAGTGAGGGAAAAAAGTATTTGATCCCCTGCTGATTTTGTACGTTTGCCCACTGACAAAGAAATGATCAGTCTATAATTTTAATGGTAGGTTTATTTGAACAGTGAGAGACAGAATAACAAAAAAATCCAGAAAAACTCATGTCAAAAATGTTATCAATTGATTTGCATTTTAATGAGGGAAATAAGTATTTGACCCCTCTGCAAAACATGACTTAGTACTTGGTGGCAAAACCCTTGTTGGCAATCACAGAGGTCAGACGTTTGTTGTAGTTGGCCACCAGGTTTGCACACATCTCAGGAGGGATTTTGTTCCACTCCCCTTTGCAGATCTTCTCCAAGTCATTAAGGTTTCCAGGCTGACGTTTGGCAACTCAAACCTTCAGCTCCCTCCACAGATTTTCTATGGGATTAAGGTCTGGAGACTGGCTAGGCCACTCCAGGACCTAAATGTGCTTCTTCTTGAGCCACTCCTTTGTTGCCTTGGCCGTGTGTTTTGGGTCATTGTCATGCTGGAATACCCATCCACGACCCATTCTCAATGCCCTGGCTGAGGGAAGGAGGTTCTCACCCAAGATTTGACGGTACACGGCCCCGTCCATCGTCCCTTTGATGCGGTGAAGTTGTCCTGTCCCCATAGCAGAAAAACACCCCCAAAGCATAATGTTTCAACTTCCATGTTTGACGGTGGGGATGGTGTTCTTGGGGTCATAGGCAGCATTCCTCCTCCTCCAAACATAGCGAGTTGAGTTGATGCCAAAGAGCTCGATTTTGGTGTCATCTGACCTCAACACTTTCACCCAGTTCTCCTCTGAATCATTCAGATGTTCATTGGAAAACTTCAGACGGCCCTGTATATGTGCTTTCTTGAGCAGGGGGACCTTGCGGGCGCTGCAGGATTTCAGTCCTTCACGGCGTAGTGTGTTACCAATTGTTTTCTTGGTGACTATAGTCCCAGCTGCCTTGAGATCATTGACTAGATCCTCCTGTGTGGTTCTGGGCTGATTCCTCACCGTTCTCATGATCATTGCAACTCCACGAGGTGAGATCTTGCATGGAGCCCCAGGCCGAGGGAGATTGACAGGTCTTTTGTGTTTCTTCCATTTGCGAATATTCGCACCAACTGTTGTCACCTTCTCACCAAGCTGCTTGGCGATGGTCTTGTAGCCCATTCCAGCCTTGTGTAGGTCTACAATCTTGTCCCTGACATCCTTGGAGAGCTCTTTGGCCTTGGCCATGGTGGAGAGTTAGGAATCTGATTGATTGATTGCTTCTGTGGACAGGTGTCTTTCATACAGGTAACAAGCTGACATTAGGAGCACTCCCTTTAAGAGTGTGCTCCTAATCTCAGCTCGTTACTTGTATAAAAGACACCTGGGAGCCAGAAATCTTTCTGATTGAGAGGGGGTTGTTGTTATTCTGTCTCTCACTGTTCAAATAAAGCTACCATTAAAATTATAGACTGATCATGTCTTTGTCAGTGGGCAAACGTACAAAATCAGCAGGGGATCAAATACTTTTTTCCCCTCACTGTACATGTGTGTAGAGTTAAAGTGACTATGCATAAATAATAAACAGAGTAGCAGCAGCGTAAAAGAGGGGGATGGGGTGGGGGGGTGGGGCAGTGCAAATAGTCCGGGAAGCCATGATTTAGCTGTTCAGGAGTCTTATGGCTTGGGGGTAGAAGCTGTTGAGAAGCCTTTTGGAACTAGACTTGGCGCTCCGGTACCGCTTGCCGTGCGGTACCAGAGAGAACAGTCTATGACTAGGGTGGCTGGAGTCTTTGACAATTTTTAGGGCCTTCCTCTGACACCGCCTTGTATAGAGGTCCTGGATGGCTGGAAGCTTGGCCCCAGTGATGTACTGGGCCGTACGCACTAAGTCCCCTGTAGCTCAGTTGGTAGAGCATGGCGCTAGCAACGCCAGGGTTTTGGGTTCGTTTCCCAAGGGGGGCCAGTATGAAAATGTATGCACTCACTAACTGTAAGTCGCTCTGGATAAGAGTGTATGCTAAATAACTAAAATGTAAATGTAAATGTAGTGCCTTGCGGTCGGAGGCCGAGCAGTTGCCATACCAGGCGGTGATGCAACCAGTCTGGATGCTCTCGATGGTGCAGCTGTAGAATCTTTTGAAGATCTGAGGACCCATGCCAAATCTTTTCAGTCTCCTGAGGGGAAATAGGTTTTGTCGTGCCCTCATCACGACTGTCTTGGAGTGCTTGGACCATGTTAGTTTGTTGGGGATGTGGACACCAAGGATCTTGAAGCTCTCAACCTGCTCCACTACAGCCCCGTCGATAAGAATGGGGGCGTGCTCGGTCCTCTTCTTTTTCCTGTAGTCCACAATCGTCTCCTTTGTCTTGATTACGTTGAGGGAGAGGTTGTTGTCCTGGCACCACACAGCCAGGTCTCTGACCTCCTCCCTATAGGCTGTCTCGTCGTTTCGGTGATCAGGCCTACCACTGTTGTGTCATCGGCAAACTTAATGATGGTGTTGGAGTCGTGCCTGGCCATGCAGTCATGAGTGAACAGGGAGTGCAGGATGGGACTGAGCACTCACCCCTGAGGGGCCCCCGTGTTGAGGATCAGCGTGGCGGATGTGTTGTTACCTACCCTTTATTCCTGGGGGCGGCCCGTCAGGAATTCAAGGATCCAGTTGCAGAGGGAGGTGTTTCGTCCCATGGTCCTTAGCTTAGTGATGAGCGTTGAGAGCATTATGGTGTTGAACGCTGAGCTGTAGTCAATGAATAGCATTCTCACATAGGGTTCCTTTTGTCCAGATGTGAAAGGGAAGTGTAGAGCGCAATAGAGATTGCATCATCTGTGGATCTGTTGGGGCGATGTGCAAATTGGAGTGGGTCTAGGGTTTCTGGGATAATGGTATTGATGTGAGCCATGACTAGTCTTTTCAAAGCACTTCATTGCTATAGACGTGAGTGCTACGGGTTGGTAGTCATTTAGGCAGGTTACCTTAGTGTTCTTGGGCACAGGGACTATGGTGTTCTGCTTGAAACATGTTGGTATTATAGACTCAGACAGGGAGAGGTTGAAAATGTCAGTGAAGACACTTGCCAGTTGGTGAGCGCATTCTCGGAGTGCCTGTCCTGGTAATCCGTCTGGCCCTGCGGCCTTGTGAATGTTGACCTGTTTAAAGGTGTTACTCACATCGGCTACGGAGAGTGTGATCACACAGTCGTCCGGAACAGCTGATGCTCTCATGCATGTTTCAGTGTTACTTGCCTCGAAGCGAGCATAGAAGTAATTTAGCTCGTCTGGTAGGCTTGTGTCACTGGGCAGCTCGCGGCTGTGCTTCCCTTTTGTAGTCTGTAATAGTTTGCAAGCCCTGCAACATCCGACGAGCGTTGGAGCCGTTGTAGGACGATTCGATCTTAGTCCTGTATTGACGCTTTGCCTGTTTGATGGTTTGTCGTAGGGCATAGCAGGATTTCTTATAAGCTTCCGGGTTAGAGTCCTGTTCCTTGAAAGCGTCAGCTCTACCCTTTAGCTCAGTGCGGATGTTGCCTGTAATCCGTGGCTTCTGGTTGGGGTACGTACAGTAACTGTGGGGACGACGTCATCGATGCACTTATTGATGAAGCCAGTGACTGATGTGGCGTACTCCTCAATGCCATCGGAAGAATCCCGGAACATATTCCAGTCTGTTTTAGCAAAACAGTCCTGTAGCTTAGCATCTGCTTCGTCTGAGTCACTGGTGCTTCCTGCTTTAGTTTTTGCTTCAGGAGGATAGAATTATGGTCAGATTTTCCAAATAGTGGACGAGGGAGAGCTTTGTATGCGTCTCTGTGTGTGGAGTAAAGGTGGTCTAGTGTTTTTTTCCCCTCTGATTGCACATTTAACATGCTGGTAGAAATGAGGTAAAACAGATTTAAGTTTCCCTGCATTAAAGTCCCCGGCCACTAGGAGCGCCGCCTCTGGGTGAGCGTTTTCCTGTTTGCTTATGGCCATATACAGTTCATTGAGTGCGGTCTTAGTGCCACCATCGGTTTGTGGTCATAAATAGACAGCTACTAAGTATATAGATGAAAACTCTCTTGGTAGATAGTGTGGTCTACAGCATGTCATGAGATACTCTGTCATGCTATTCATCCGCCGCCATCACCTCATGTTTCAGCATGATAATGCAGGACACCACATCACAAGGATCTGTACACAATTCCTGGAAGCTGAAAATGTCCCAGTTCTTCCATGGCCTGCATACTCACCCATTGAACATGTTTGGGATGGTCTGGATCGACGTGTACAACAGCGTGTTCCAGTTCCCGCCAAGATCCAGCAACTTCGCACAGCCATTGAAGCGGAGTGGGACAACATTCCACAGGCTTCAATCAACAGCCTGATCAACCCTATGCGAAGGAGATGTGTCGCGCTGCATGAGGCAAATGCTTGCACACCGTTCTGGCACTCCACGTCCTTTCCAACCACTCCGCTACAAACCGCTCTGCGCTCACAGGGGAATAAACTACTGCTCCATTCATTTAAAATCACAATTTAACCAACACCCATCTATTTTTCTGACTACCTGGACCTACCACTTGGTTTTGAAGTATTGAAACCAAACCATATGATTTGAATGAGAAGTATTTTAATAAACATGAAAAGGTGAATGTAAGAAGCGCTCAACATTTCAAAAAAGGATACATGTCATATTAAACAGCATGTAAACACTCTAAATAGGTCAGGAGCCAAACACGGCGCCTAAGAATGAATGAAAATGAATTATTTAGACAATTATTTCAAGGCAATATCCTACAAAGAAATACATTGTGAATACATTTGCGAGTGCGACACAATGGGCTGGTAGGGACATAAAGAGCTCAGCATTTAAACAACATTTCGTTGTATTAAATCATTATAGTCTATAAATTGCGCATATAGGCTGTGACTTACTTACAATTACAGTGAGGGAAAAAAGTATTTGATCCCCTGCTGATTTTGTACGTTTGCCCACTGACAAAGAAATGATCAGTCTATCATTTGTCAAAAATGTCAAAAATGTTATAAATTGATTTGCATTTTAATGAGGGAAATAAGTATTTGACCCCCTCTCAATCAGAAAGATTTCTGGCTCCCAGGTGTCTTTTATACAGGTAACGAGCTGAGATTAGGAGCACACTCTTAAAGGGAGTGCTCCTAATCTCAGTTTGTTACCTGTATGAAAGACACCTGTCCACAGAAGCAATCAATCAATCAGATTCCAAACTCTCCACCATGGCCAAGGCCAAAGAGCTCTCCAAGGATGTCAGTGACAAGATTGTAGACCTACACAAGGCTGGAATGGGCTACAAGACCATCGCCAAGCAGCTTGGTGAAAAGGTGACAACAGTTGGTGCGATTTTTCGCAAATGGAAGAAACACAAAATAACTGTTAATCTCCCTCGGCCTGGGGCTCCATGCAAGATCTCACCTCGTGGAGTTGCAATGATCATGAGAACGGTGAGGAATCAGCCCAGAACTACACAGGAGGATCTTGTCAATGATCTCAAGGCAGCTGGCCCAATAGTCACCAAGAATACAATTGGTAACACACTACGCCGTGAAGGACTGAAATCCTGCAGCGCCCGCAAGGTCCCCCTGCTCAAGAAAGCACATATACAGGCCCGTCTGAAGATTGCCAATGAACATCTGAATGATTCAGAGGAGAACTGGGTGAAAGTGTTGTGGTCAGATGAGACCAAAATCGAGGTCTTTGGCATCAACTCAACTCGCCGTGTTTGGAGGAGGAGGAATGCTGCCTATGACCCCAAGAACACCATCCCCACCGTCAAAAATGGAGGTGGAAACATTATGCTTTGGGGGTGTTTTTCTGCTAAGGGGACAGGACAACTTCACCGCATCAAAGGGACGATGGATGGGGCCATGTACCGTCAAATCTTGGGTGAGAACCTCCTTCCCTCAGCCAGGACATTGAAAATGGGTCGTGGATGGGTATTCCAGCATGACAATGACCCAAAACACACGGCCAAGGCAACAAAGGAGTGGCTCAAGAAGAAGCACATTAAGGTCCTGGAGTGGCCTAGCCAGCCTCCAGACCTTAATCCCATAGAAAATCTGTGGAGGGAGCTGAAGGTTCGAGTTGCCAAACGTCAGCCTCGAAACCATAATGACTTGGAGAAGATCTGCAAAGAGGAGTGGGACAAAATCCCTCCTGAGATGTGTGCAAACTTGGTGGCCAACTACAAGAAACGTCTGACCTCTGTGATTGCCAACAAGGGTTTTGCCACCAAGTACTAAGTCATGTTTTGCAGAGAGGTCAAATACTTATTTCCCTCATTAAAATGCAAATCAATTTATAACATTTTTAACATGTGATTTTCTGGATTTTTTTGTTGTTATTCTGTCTCTCACTGTTCAAATAAACCTACCATTAAAATTATAGACTGATCATGTCTTTGTCAGTGGGCAAACGTGCAAAATCAGCAGGGGATCAAATACATTTTTCCCTCACTGTAAATAGAAATTAAACGAAAAATGCCTTATTAGTAGGCTCAGTCTACAGTGCCTTTTTGAATTAATTTTTTTAAACACGAGTTTGGCCAGAGTCTGTGGCTTCAGGCTCATGTGATGGTGCCTGGAGAGCAGGCCAGCAGCGGAGAATATCCTCACTCCTTTGGGAATCTCACTCTGCGCTCTAGTACAATTTGGTATGCTCTGCTCCTCGCTCTGCTCCAGCTCTGCTCACATACTCTGGTGGTCACACAAGATACTGACTGGTTTTCTGATCCATGCCCCTACTTTTATTTTTTAAAGCTATCTGTGACTACCAGATGCATATCTGTATTCCGAGTCATGTGAAATCCATAGCTTTGGGCCGAATGAGTTTATTTCAATTTACTGATTTCCTTTATATGAGCTGTAAATCAGTAACATGTTAGAAATTGTTGCATGTAGCGTTTATATTTTTGTTCAGTGTATATATAAATAATATCAATACATAATGTTAACGCCTCGATCACACCGATAGTGTCATTGCATTTTGCTACACCAGAAGTACATTCATTTCCAATGGAACGCTGCGTTTGCCTTGCAGCGTTGCAGAGGCAGTTGCAGTGCGTTCTGTGTGGTGCATATGTTGGATTTATCGAACGTATGCATGAAACTGTATGCGTAGACAGCTTGACAGAAATGGTAGCAGAAGGTGAATGTTGAACTTTTGTTCGACACATATCCAGATGCTGCTGCATACCATTTTGCGGGATGGCGCTGTCGGTGTGATCGAGGCGTAACCCTCTACCTCTCTCTGCCCCCTCCAGGCCGGCAGCAGCAGCAGCCCAGGCAGGAGCCCGCTACAGCACTGCAGCCGATGCCCTGGCTGCCCTGGTGGATGCCGCCGCCTCCGCCCCTCAAATGGACGTCAACAAGGGCAAGGACTCCTCCAAGCACGATCGAGACGACGACATGTCTTTATCATCTGCGGCGGCCAGGCGGCAGCACGAGCTGCAGCTGGAGGCAGACAGGCGCTCCATGCAGTCTCCCTACGGCCCCATGTCTCTGCCAGGGGGGAAACTCCACCCAGGATACGCTGAGGGGCCCGGTGGTCCCCAGGGGAGTAAAGACAAGGGTCCTCCCAGCAAGTCACGCATCGAGGAGGAGCTGAGGACCAGAGGAAAGACCACCATCACGGCCGCCAACTTCATTGACGTCATCATCACGAGCCAGATCGCCTCGGACAAGGACTCCCGGGAGAGAAGCTCCCAGAGCTCCGACTCCTCCAGCAGCTGTGAGTCTTCCACATAGAACAACATAGAACAGGGAACAGTATAGAACGTAGACACGATGGGACAGATGGGATGGAAGCCAGTACTGTAACACTGCTGTGGTGGGTGGATACCTGGATATAGATTTGGTTTGCGTTTTAATTCCCAACATTTCTAACATGTAAGGCTTAACAACATAGCAAATAACAAAAAAAAAAAATATATATAATTATAATATCTCATATGTTAGTGAGAGGGTTGTTTTTAAAGTGTGTCTGTGCCTGGCCCTGCAGTGTCGTCCAGTCGGTATGAGGTCCCCAGTGGAGGAGCTATCGAGGTGATCAGCCCAGCCAACTCTCCAGCCCAGTCCCAGCAGGAGAAGCAGCAGCAGCAGGACGACAGGGAGAGGGCCGACAGGGACAGGGCCGCACAGGCAGCAGCACAAGGTGAGATGGCTCTATATACTGTGAAACATACAATAATAAGATGTGTTCTCAGTGCTGGTTTCCCTGACACAGATTAAACCTGCACCTGGACTAAAAAAAGCTTGCTCAATAGTGAATATCTATTGAAAGTGCATTTCAGTCAAGGCTTAATGTGTCCGAGAAACTGGCCCTTACTGACCGGTAAAGCTCTATAGATGCCATATATGGAGACTTGACTTGAAGTATTCTCTTGACGCTCTCAATCACTCCCTTTCTCAAGTACTGTTTTCCTTTTCCAAGGTTTAAGTTACCTACCATGTCCTACTTGATTACAGTACATTCTCTGTACTGAACTGACTTCTAATACTAAATTGAACCGGCTCAGCTCTACAAGCTGTATTGAATTCAGGTTACAACTGCAGAGGCATACAGTATCTTATAGTGATGATATGGAGTAAACATACTACAACCCGAATGACTCTTCACCCGAGTCATCTGAGTACAACAGATATAGCAGACGATACCATTCCATTCCCAACTAGCCCCCGTCTGGTCACCAGACCGCTCCACAATCTATTTCTGTCCGCTGGAGGCAAATGTGTATCAGCTGGTGCTGGAATACAGTGCAGTGCTACCCCTCCTCTCCCTCATCTCCCCCTCCCCCAACTCAGTCTGGTGTGTGTGTGTGTTTGTGGAATATTCTCACTCAGCAGCTGGCATGCGTCCCTTTGACATGAGCCGCTACCGACAGTCAGCGGAGTCACAGCAGCCCCCCTCCTCCCAGGCTGACGGAGGGTACTCCCAGGTCCCCAAGACCCACCGAGTCATGACCCTGGCTGACCACATCTCGGTAAGATACTCTGGTAGCTTTCCACGGTTGCATGCCATGTCATTGCATGCGCAGTCGGGCATCAGATAGCTATAACATATTATGTGGCTATCTAATATGTTAAACAGGTCTGAGAGATCTGGCAGGCATCTGCAATGTAGTCAGCCTGGAACGCACCCACTGACTGAAGAAGAGCCCAATGACTCATTAATTCATAGCCCTTTTTAACTGGAATCCTGAATCCTGAGGCAAACAATCCATATTCTGTGTAACCAATACAAATGACTTTACCAAAAATGTATGTACCTCCTATACCACTTTTTGTTGAGTTATGATATCTTGAGTGATCCATCGACTGAACTGCAAATTATGATCTGAACAACTCTGACAACAGCCTCTACTAGACATCTTAATAGAGAAATACCTTTAAGAGTAGTGACTGAAAATTGATGTATGCCTCCAAGTAATAACATCTCCCCGATGTCTGTCCTTTTGTCCTCTCCTCTTTCTCCTTTATAGCATATCATCACCCAGGACTTTGCCAGGAACCAGGACCCTCCTCAGTCCTCCACCACCATCTCCTCCACTGCCACCACCACTTTCCAAAGTGCCCAGCTGCCCGTGTCTATCTTGGGCCCCGGGGGCCGTGCCAAGGGCCCCAGCCGCTACAGCCCAGAGAACCAGGCCCAGGCCCCATCACACCACCAGAGACCCACACCCAGCAGAGTGTCTCCCGATAACGCCCCTGACAAGCCCAGAGCCAGGTACAGTAACAGCACCCGCCGGTAGCCCAACACAGCCTCTTCACCAAGCCAGCCTGGGACATGGTCATTAGGGTACACCATAGCAAAATGTTTTGCAACAAAAAACAAAAACTTGTGTTCAGGTAAAAAAAAAACATTTTCTCCCTACTGAACATAACCCTGGTGGTGCACCTCTGACCATTCCATCAGATTCTCACTTTTTCCTCTCTTCCTCTGTGCCTCCCCCAGACCTGGTAAATCCCCTGATCGGGGTGGCAGGGGGGCATTGGAGAGCTATGAGCCCATCTCCCCTCCCCAGAGCTACCAGGATAAACAACAGGAAGCCAGAGAGCAGCAGCAACCCCAGAGACGAGAGGCTGACCAGCCTGAGATGAGGTGTGTAGGACTGGTATATCTTCATACGTAGTGCGTGTACTCGCATTTGTTTATATTCACGTAACGTTGGCTTTCAATGTTATAGCTAGGCATATCTGTATGTTTCGGTATCTTTAAGGTTTAAGTGACAAACCGAAAAGCATAACATCATTTTTGTTGTATGTCTACATGCATTTGTGTGTGTGTGGATACTAGATACCTTCCCCTGGCACATGGATTCAGTGCCCATGGGCAGAATGTGTCTTGTGGGCAGCTGTGACCCATTTGGCTTGCCAACAGAGTGGAAACTGGGGAGAGGTGCCAATGGCACACTAGCCTACCTGACTCTTAACCCCTGTGGTGGCCTTTCTCTGGTTACAGGGGTGACTCTCGCTCCCCTGGCAGTGTCAGCTACCTGCCCTCCTTCTTCACCAGGCTGGAGAACACCTCCCCTATGGTGAAATCCAAGAAGCAGGAGATCATTCGTAAGTTGAACTCCTCTTGTGTCAGTGATTCTGATGTTGGTAAGTGTGCTCTCTTCTTATCTACCTTGTACTTACGTCATTTAAGAAAGCTTGCCATGATGGAAATAATGTAGTAATTTGATGGAACTCAACTTATACAGTATTATATTAATATATAATGGGATGCATTGCACTCATTTCTCATTTTCACAAGGGAAAACATTGTAATAGGAAGGCATACTGTAAAACGACTAACAATTAACTTTGTCTTTAGCGCCATTTTAGTTTGTCAGACATTTTGTTTACTGTGCTATCATTTCTCCTTTCAGGAAATGCACAACCAGGCACAGAGATCTTCAACTTGCCTGCTGTGACCAGCTCAAGTGAGTGTAGATATTTCTAACAACATAGGATCCCATTCTATCACCATACAAACTCTTCTCATATTCAAACAAACTAGAATCATTTAAACCAGCCACTTGTGGGTAGTGTTCAGTAAGCACCAAATGGAATAAAATACATTTAAACACGTTTCAAAATGTTTTCTGTTTGCATACCCTAATGAACACGACCGTGCTGGCTGCTCCATGTCTTCCCTGTCTAATCAGCCTGTGTGTGCGTGTGTTTGGCCCTCCAGGCAGCGTGAACCCCAGGAACCACTCCTTCAGCGACCCGGCCAGTAACCTGGGCCTAGAGGACATCATTCGCAAGGCCCTGATGGGCAACCTGGAAGAAAGGCCAGAGGAGCACCAAGGAGGGCCTCAGCCCAGCTCTAACACCCCCAGCAACGAGGCCCGCCAGGAGGCCAACCCTTCACCTAGCATGGGTCAGTGGCAAACAACCACACCAACTAAAACCCATCATGGGAATCAAATTATTTTAATTTCTGATATTTAGAACAAACTCACCAGACTAGTTCTAAGCTTTTGCTAACTCTCTTGCATTATTGCTAACACTCTTGTATTTGTCTGATTGTCCAACAGGCAAACATAAACAGCAGAGCAAAGCCAACAGCCGAAAGTCAAAGTCGCCCAACCCAGGCCAGGCATACGCAGCAGCAGGAGGGGAGCGGCCCTCTTCAGTCTCTTCCGTCCACTCAGAGGGAGACTACCACCGGCAGCCCCCGGCCTGGTCCTGGGAGGACCGGCCCTCATCCACAGGTACATTAGGCCCTTAGCCCCATATAAACCCTGTCTGTCTGGCCATTTGTCTGTACACCATTCCACATTAACAGCCACACAGGTATTCAGAAATCTGGATTGTATTTTCTTGTCTCTCAAAAATTTATTTTCAGCCTGACATAAGACACAAATGAACAATCTGAATCCCTCTAACGACAATCCTGTCTCACTTTACTCTCCAGGCTCCATGCAGTTCCCCTATAACCCCTTGACCATGCGCATGCTGAGCAGCACACCCCCCACCTCCATGCAGGCCCAGCAGCCTCCACCTGGAGGCCCTCCGGGACCCCAGCAGCAGCAGCAGCAGCGTGTATGGGAGCGGGAGCCCCTACTGTCGGAGCAGTATGAGACCCTGTCAGACAGTGACGACTGAGCCCTGCCACTAGAGTCCTACCTGCCCCCCATCCCACCCCAGAGGAAGGGCAGGCCTCTCAGTACAGGCCTGCATGCCCACCCCCTCCCCCCAAAACTATCCTCACTCACTGGTGCTGATCGAGTGTTGGGAGAACAGGGGGTATGGCGGTGTCCATTTCGGTGCAACAGCGCCCTCTAGCTGCCAGCAGGAAGAAAGGCAGCAAGTGACTTCTGACTGGCTGGAATCTTCAGGATAGACTGACTGACTCCCTTTATGTCCAGAAGCTTTGATAGACACAGCCTGTCAGGACAGAGAACGCCTGAGTGGAAGATATGATGAAAGATTAAGATGAAGAACTTGTAATGTAAAAAGATGAAAAAACCCAACGTTTTTTTGTGGTCTTTCTATAAAGAAATGTTTTTGTCTTTAAGAAAAATCATTGTATGTAAATAGTGAAACCTTTTGCAGTGTTTTTCTTTCTGAACTTGATTATTTCTCATTTTAGTGATGCTTTTAAATGGATCCACTTTGTTATTGAATGAATTGGGGGGGGGGGTTTAATCTTGAATATCACAGTCGGTCTCTCCCTGTCCATCTCTTACCCCCCACCTATCTAGCACCACAGTGAAGCTGAGAGACACAGAACCTGTGGGTTGTACTTGATAATGAGTGGGGAACAGAGAAGTGTAGGAGGCGCCCTAACCACCAAGCACCACCAAAGCCTGAATATTGTGGACATAAGTGAATGAAACAAACACACATGTTAACATTTAAATTACGGCTTTGTAATTTGATGCCTGTCTTTGCAACACTGTGGAGAAAGATGATGCATGGATCTAACAATATTCCCCCTGATCTAGAATTTAAAGAAAGCTTTTGTCAGTCCGTCACCACACCCTTGAGAAAAACAAAACCAATGTCTTTGGTACAAGTTGAGAACACTGGTGTAGGAGCAAGCAGAAAGGCAAAAGAAGACTAATTAATAAGCTTGACGTTGTCCCAAGTTGTTTCTTCTACTCATGACTACTTTACTTCTGGGCCCCCATGTTGATCTGAACTCTGTCATTGAGCCAATAGTTTTTGGATTAAGCTGGCCACCACCACGGTGGGTGTACTGTATGGCGCACAGTCTGACCCGTAGCTGTCCCTCTAGGGTTTCCAACAAGTGCAGAATGTTCTACTTACAGTACTCTGCAACCCATGTTGTCAAGGTAACTAAAGTACATCAGGAACCTTTTTTTAGAGGTTCGCCCATGCCTTGTGGCTGGAGAAAAATAAGGCAGCTTTAAACACATTTTCTCAGAGCTATACGTTGATGTTTTTTTGTTATGTTTCCGTAGTCCCTCTTAACTTTTTTTTATACTGTCTTGACAGAAAACCGATTTGTGTGATTTGTCTTTTATGTTTTAGACAAAAAAAGACAACTAACCAAACATAAATGGTCTGCACCATTGTTGCACTTTTTGCTTTGTAACCTTTGACAACAAAAGCATACTTTCTACCTGTTGTATAACTTATTCAAGCTCCTGCAGAGGATTGTACTGAGATGTGCTTTGACTTTGCCCATCACTCATGGAAACCTGGATGTTTATGACTGAGTTCCTGTCTTCTCTTGTAGCTGGTACATGGTTTTGTAGTGTGACACATGCATTGCAGTTTTACTTTTGTGTAGGGTACAGTCAAGATGTTAAGGAAGAGTAGTTTTTTTGCTGTCATGGTGACTATTCAAATCCATGGCCTCGTAATCTATTCTCTCAATATTCAAGATTTATATCAACCGTTTTTTGTCAACAGACATGTAGCTTCTTTAAATGTTGAATTATGACTAGGTCAGCATTGATAATGACAGTAATGTTCCATTGAAAGACCTTTATGTCCGGATATGTGAAAGCATACCATGTGTTTTGGTTCTCTCAGCTTTTGCTTTGCTTAAATAACAATCCCAATCTGCTCTAAACCAGATCTTTTCATTTATTTTCATTTTCTTTTTGCTTTTGAATTGTTAAGTCCTAGAGCTGATTTTCAGATTTTTTTCCTATCATTTTCAACATCAGTTATTCAACATCCTATTTTTGATGGGATGTCAAGTGTTTACAACAGCAATGACAAAAAGTTTACAAAACTTGATTCTTAAAAAAGAAAATCGAAATGAAGCCAGAAAATAATTAGTGCGTCTTTTCAGCTTGATGGCTGTGTCCACAATGGCAACCTATTCCCTATATAGTGCACTACTTTTGACCAGAGCCTGTGGACCATATAGGGAATAGGGTGCCATTTGGGTGGCATCCAATCTGTCAAACATCCAGTGCTAACTTTTTTTGGCTGTTTTAAAATTTGAGACTTGAAAACCCATGTATCCCGTGATGTTGAAATGCAATGTTTGTATCGCACAATGTCTCTTAGTAGTCTATTACAAGAGTTCAGACCAATCAATAAAGTGGGTCAGTTCTCCACCTCAAACGTGTGCATCTTTGTTTCATTCTCTGATTGGTCATTGGCTTACAGGTTCTGAGACCTCCATCACTTAGCCTCTCGGCCTAGCCCTAGACTAACGGCTCATCTATAATGACTCCTTACAGTATAGTGAAATGACCACAACAAAACAATAAACTTTAATTGCTAAAATGTTCTATTTGGTATGCCGAAGAACCCTCAACGGAACAGCCTTTTCACATTCCTGCTGAAGACCAACAGATGGTATATCAGGGCAAAAGCCAGCAGCAACAGCCACAGAGTGGTGGTAACTCTGCGAGTGCAAGTTGTTTTGGTGTGGTGAGGAGAGAGCAAGGTCGCAGATGCCCTGATCCCTCTGCGTTTCTGGTCCAATTGTAGCAATCTTTTGTTTGGAACGTGTGATCTTTACCATGAGGTACGCCTGAAACACAAGACAACTTTTTTTAGAGAACAGACACGAATGATAGGGGTTAAAGTTCTAGTCTATGCTGTTTCTCATAGTTGTTTGACAGATCTGCTCTTTTTTTTGTGGTATTTTAGTCCCGTTTTCCACCCAATTTCGTGGTATCCAATTGGTACTCAGTCTTTGTCCCTGCCGGCCAAACCCTCCCCTAACCAGGACGACGTTGGGCCAATTGTGCGCCGCCCCATGGGTCTCCCGGTCGCGGCCATCTGCGACTGAGCGATAGATCTGCTCTCTCACCATATGTCTTCCGCTCCCCGGTCTCTTCAGCAGCCTGAAGGCCCACAGCAGGAGGTGGGCAGGGTCCTGGCCGGGTCACGGCTCAGGGTCGGTGCCCATTCGGACCATGACCAGTGGCTGGCCCAGGGAAAATAGCAGGAAATGCATCCTGAACCCACCCAGCCAGAGAGACATAGGGAACAGTTAAAGTTAGATGAGGACTGTACCTGGTCTATAGACACAAACTGTATAATGTAAACTGATCACAACAAAAAGTTGATAGCCTATTTGTTGTATAAGCCAAGAGTCAGTTAGCCTAGCATCCTTTTGGGGTTTTAAAGATACATTCTAGTCAATGTGTGCTAAGGGCCTCCTGAACTGGGCAGTCCCACCTCCTGAATACCTCACAACCCTCTGCGCATGGCAGACTCAGGCTTTTTAAGCCAGATGGCTGGCCCCTCTTAAGTCCATCATGAGGATCCTGGATGGGGGCAGGCACCCTGGTCCATCCTTCTGCAATGACCTGAGATCTCAACAGCTCCCTCCCTCATCCTTTCCAAGTTCCTGAAAAATAGGAAATGTATCACTTAAAGCAGTCCGGTGGTCTTCAATTCAGAAAATGTAATTTGAGAAACGAATGTAAGTGCCCAGGTATAGGATTGCAGCTTGGTATAAAGCACTACACTCAACAGTCTACTCTTATAGAAACACCTATTTCTTACATTAAACATATACCACCTTTGCATTGGAGTCAAATTCATCTCAGTAATTTAAGGGATAAATACAACCTAAACATGCTCCAAGAAATAGAAATAAAGCAGCTAGAGAAAACTGTCACTCTCCTGAACATATTTTACATCGACATTTTAGTCACTTATCCAGAGCGACTTACAGTGCATACATTTTTGTACTTTTTTGTACTGGCCTTTGAACCCACAAACCTGGTGTTGCAAGCGCCATGTTCTATCAACTGAACCACACGGGACCCACACACATATTGCTCAGGATCAGCAGGGCAGGCCAGTCAACCGTGTGAAAACAAAACAATATGCCTTGCTTGTTCAACTAGAAATGTAGCTGAGGAACGCTCAACTCAAATTTCAAATTTTAATGTCACGTGCACAAGTACAATGAAATGCCTTCCTTGCAAGTTCCAAACCCAACAATGCAGTAATCAATGTAGCACTAAAAATAACATAAGTTAGAACAAAAACACACGAGAAATTAAAAAGCTATATAGAGGATCAGTTCCAATACCAGATTTTGCAGGGACACTGGAGTGATAGAGGTAGATATTAGAGGAGCTTGTTGGGAGGAGCTATAGGACGGGCTCAGTGTAATGGCTGGAATGGAATCAATGAAACAGAGTCAAACACGTTGTTTCCATGTGTTTGATGTGTTTGGTACCATTCCAATGATTCCATTCCAGCCACTACAATGAGCCCATCCTCCTATAGCTCCTCCCACCAGTGTCCTCTGTTAGATATCTATAGGGGTAAGGTGATTAGGCTTCAGGATATATGATAAACAGAGTAACAGCAGCAGCGTAAAGTATGATTGCATGTGAGTGTGTGCGCGTGTGTTTAGAGTCAGTATAAATGTGTGTGCATGTTATGTGTGTGTTGGAGTGTCAGTGTGCGTGAGTGTGTAGAGTCTTGTGAGTGTGCATAGAGACAGTGCAAAGATAAAATACAAGGGTCAACTCAGATAGTCCATGTAGCCATTCTGGTTTTTAGCAGTCTTATGGCTTGGGGATGGAAGCTGTTCAGGAGCCTGTTGGTGTCAGACTTGATTCACCGGTACCGCTTGCTGTGCGGAAGCAGAGAGAACAGTCTATGGCTTGGGTAGCTGGAGTCTTTAACGATTTTCCGGGCCTTCCTTT